CCTGACCCACCCTCAACAATTAGCGAGAGAACCTTTGCTCGTATGAGCATGCCTTGATTTTAGGCAACCTTCCCAGCAATCGAAAAAAAGCACCTTGACTGAGCACTTGGGGTTGCTGCGCGGCCCAAGATGTAGCGTTCGTCATCCCTGTATACAATGCATTTGGAGAGACAGCCCTTGGTGACATGGGGCGCAAGCGTCCAGCCGAAGCCTAACACTCCGTGTGATGGCTTTGGCTGGTCTGCCGAGACCAAACTCTGGCCGCCAGCCCACTGGGTAGAGGGCGCGCCGCAGCAGACTGAGCCTTTGTTTTTGTAGGGCGCGTGCGCACATAGTGACAAACGCTAGGCTCCCATCGCAACCGGCGCATGCGCAAGGCGATCTCCAGAATGAAGCAGGTTGAGGCGCCCGTCTAGCCAGGAGGTCCCATGCAGCGCAAACTGGACCGAGCATGCCGGCTGGTCGGTTTGAAAACCCGCCAAACCTTCAAACGGGCTCCCTGATGCTAAAAACAAGTGTGTATTCAGCAAGCATGTTTTCTTTCAACATGCCAGGAGCGCAGTTCTGCTTGGACCTGCGCAGGTGTGTCTGCAGCCAGAATGTAAAGTGATGACGTTGAAGCCCATCCTGCAGCGGATGAACCAATCACCATTCTGGGTCAGTGTAAAAGCCGGTCCTGGAAATGCCACCAAGAAATCTATATGGGTGTGGGTCAATATTCTGGTGTGGAACGTTCCGCGGTGACGCGGACGTCTGGAACGAGTCAGTTACGCAAGATCGCTTGTTCCGGACCTCTAGGAGGACATGCGTGGAGTCCTCAAGCACACGTTCATTTAGTGTAAGATGGATACATGGATGGATGAATGGATGGATGGGTAGATGGATGGATGAAGCGATTAGGGGCGCGCCGACATCGTTGCCACCCTCGCGTCATTGGGACACCGATGCGCTGTAGTCACGCCCGCCACGTGCGCCAGCCGATGCACAAGGCTGGGAGGCGTAAGCCGATGCCACCGATGCGCAAGCCGATGCAGGGTATCCTTCAAAGATTTCTTTGTCTCCAAAGCCCTGGCACATGTCGTCCTTGAAGGCTTCTTGGGTGGCGGGCCACGTGAGAAGCGCAGCTACTTACTGGCGCATGTGTGTGCATGTGGACTTGGTGGCAAATTGCTCCGCTGCGTCTGGAACACGTCTGGAACGGGTCTGGAACGGGGTCTGGAACGGTTACGCGAGTGGCTTGCACTTTGGAATGCTAGCAGGCCGCATGTAAACATGGTCGTTTCAACCGAGAACGGTATCGAACCGTTACCGTATCGTATCGAAAGCGGCGGAATTGTATCGCACCGAACCGAACCAAAGTTCCGGAACACCGATACTCCTTTCAGGCAAAACCTAAGACTACTTTGGGCGATTTCGAGCAACACGTTATCGTTTTTGGGGCTTCGCTATATCGTTCTGCAATGTTTCAGACACTGGTGTGTTTATGTCCAGGAAGGGTGGAAGGGGGAAAGAGAAACAATGGAGGAAGAGAGCAGAGGAAGAGAAACTGGGAGGAAGAGAAAGCAGGAGGAGAAAGGACGAAGGAAAGAAGGATGGGGAGGAAGGGATAAAGGAATCCAGGGAGTAAGGGAGCAAGGAAGGATGGGGCAAGGGAAAAAGGAGGGTGGAAGGGAAGGGAGGAAGAGGAAGGGAGGAAGAGGAGGAAGAGGAAGGGAGGAAGAGGAAGGGAGGGGAAGGGAGGCAGGGCAGAAGAAGAAGGAAGGGAGCAAGGGAAGAAGGCAGAAGGCAGGAAGGCAGGAAGGCAGGAAGGCAGGAAGGCAGGAAGGCAGGAAGGCAGGAAGGCAGGAAGGCAGTAAGGCAGCTTGGGACACCAGGAAGGTTGTCACAACTCTTCACCTGCTTGAGTCCCTGTTCCAAACCGCCCACAAGCATGATGGAGCTGCCCACACCTGACCAAACCACTATTATGTATGCTTCCCGCCTTTTTCTTTCCGTGTCGTTAGTATCGTTCAAGTAAACTCGTTCAACACCCTCCAAACCCAAAAATTTTTCCCATATCCTCAGTCCGGCTGCCATATCAACTACACGTTGCGTGCGTGCCCTCCACCCGTGACGCTGACGTGTAGCACAAGCGAGACTTATAAACAACTTGAAGCACAGCAGCACCATGCAGCACCTTTTACTTGGGCTACGGCTCCACCTCTGAGTCCACAAGCTCTTTTCGAGGGAATCGGCCTCTTCGGTCTTTTGGGGAATCGGCAACTGTGACAAAAAGCCCCTCTAGGGGTGATTTGTCACACCCCCCAATATCCGACGCTCCAAAAATTACTTTTGGGTAAGGTTTGGCCGCCCGACTGTGGCGCCAGCGGTGCAAGCAAAACAATAAGCAGAGAAGAACAGTCTGGCCCAAATCGTTCACACGACCCACACCCCTAACATCCCCCCCCGAAGATCCAAAAGTTTTTCGTACCTCAAATTACTTTTGGGTATGGTTTGGCGTGCCGACTGTGGCGCCTGCGGGTGCAAGCAAGAAGCATGAGCAGTAGGAACGAGAGCAATCGGTGGCCCAGAATGCAATTCACACCCCCCGAATGATCCGAAAAGAAAAGGTGTTTTCGACGTTCTAAAATTACTTTTGGGTATGGTTTGGCATGCCGACCGTGGCGCCTGCGGGCGCAAGCAAGAAGCGTGAGCAGTAGGAAGGAGACAAGCATGTACTCGTGCCCATAAGTGCCAGTTCACACCCCCGAATGATCCGAAAGGTATTTTCACCTCCTTCGTCAACAATAAGCATACAGTAGGAAGGAGAGCAAGCGGGCCCTAATCAGTCACACTCCCCAACCGAAAAGTTTTACGACGCCCAAATAATTCTTTTGTATGTTTGCATGCCGACTGTTGGCGCCAACGTCAAGCAAGAACATGAGCTATAGAAAGGAACACTCTTGGCCCAGAAACAATGCAAGTTCACCCCTTGAATGTTCCAAAGGTGTTTTCCGCTCCAAAATTAACTTTGTAGTTTTGCCCGTCCACCAACCACCAAAAGCAACCCGAAACGCAGTTTTGAAGAACCACCGGATGTACTTTGTCAAAACACCCAATATCATGGCTTGTGGGTATGGTTTGGCTGGCTTGTGGGTATGGTTTTGCCCTTCCGGCAACCACAAAAACAATGCGTGCAGTTCCGGAACCCAAAGACCAACCCCGCCTTGATAAAGTGATCGACGCATATTTTGACCGTGACTCATGAGCCAGCGTCAATATTTGCTGTGTGGGCTGTACTCATTCTACTTTAAACGAGTCCCCTATGGTTCTCCGCGTTTCGCGCGTGGGTGCAGTGCCCGAATTCCCCTCTGCTCGGGTCTCGCGAGCGCGCAAAGCGCCCAATGAACCCTCTGCGAGGATTGCGCGTGTCAAAGCGCCCTCCCTGCGACGCCGTGCGGATTTGGAAAGTGCCCGGCGAACCCCCTGCAGTGAGCAATTTCTGCGGCAGCACTCTTGGAGCTCGGGCTCTTCTCCAAAGCCTTCCGGATCACAGATCTGCTCGGGCAAGTCAGGCCTTCCCATCCTCCTGCAGCAGCAGATCTCTGAGGAGCAAGCGCAAGCCCGCCAAGGCGTCCGCGGCCTGGCCAGTTGCGGGCCCTTTGTGTGCGCGGAAGGATGTGCGCTGTGTGGTTGAAGAAGCAAACGCACTAGGTAGGCCTCACTTTGGCTGCTCCGGGACGTTCTCGGAGTATCGATGGGGTGTCGTTTTGGGTATCGTTCTGGGCGCGTGTAGTGTCACAAAAAAAACAAACTTGCTATAAGCTAGAGCCAAGCAAGCGCACAAGAGCCTTCTCTACCTTGCGGTAGTGATGTGATCAGCGGACTAGACTATGCTTCTGGCTCCCAAGCATTGGCGGCTTTGCTTGCTGGCTGCAACTTCCAGGTCGCAAGTCGCAACTTTCAGTACCAGCGCAGTACGCAAGTTACACTTTGGCAGCTCCAGCTCGAAGGTCGCAGCGTGCGCCGGTGCCTGCGGGCGCCTGTGCGTGTGCGTGTGCGCGGGTGCGTCTGGGTGGGCCCATCTCGTGCACACATGTGCCCACCATGCATTGCCGAGGAGCATTGGCAGGAGCTGTCATGGCAACTTACCAAAAAAAGGCTCACACAGTGCAAAATAGAAGCGCGAAGCGCCAGTTGCACGTCATGCGACGTTATCGTTTTTGGGGCTTCGCTATATCGTTCCTGAGGAAAAAATACAAAACAAGCAACGCGAAATCGCCGAAGACATATTTTATGACGAGAGAGTTTAGCCTTTTGCTCTTTCTTTCTCCTTCTTTCTTGCTCCTTTGCTCCTTCTTTCTTGCTCCACGCCATTTCAGCCTTGGCCATTGCACTTGCACACCCGACAAAGAACGACCATCTGAATCAATACTCTAGAAATAAATGTACATAAACAAGGTCTGGAACGGAAGGTCTGGAACATGTTTCTAGGCAAGGTCTGGAACGGAGGTCTGGAACGGAGGTCTGGATCGCATGTGGGTTCCGGACCCTGTTCCGGACCTTATAAATTGACTCGCAGCCATATCTCATTCGTGGATCCATAATGGGTCAGGCTATTCTGCCCCAAAGATCCGGCGGCGCGCTCCAGCCTGGACCACAGCACCAGCACAAAATACCATGAATAGAGCTGCAACATTACCAAAACAAATGAACCGCTTCTTGGCTCCGCCTTCAGGCGGAGACTGTAAAATCGTACGACCAAGACCGTGCACAAAGTGAGCTTACAAGGAAAGCGAATTCAGCACTCACGCTTGTGTCACGAACGTGCACGCGTGCACTACGACACGCCAGGAACAAGGCTCGCCCACTTTTAGCAACACCACCAAGAGTTGGGAACCACAGTTGATCCCGGCTTTGATGTTTCCAAACTTTGAACTCATATTCGGGCTCGCCTCGGCGACCGAATCGTGCGAACAGTCAAGTTTGTGCAATCAAAGGCTCCTTAGCTCCTTCCTGACTCAGAACTTTCTCTGAGGCCCCAGCGTGTAGGCAAGACTAAGGCCCAGAAGGCTGAGGGCCACCTCGCGTTCGGAGTCACCGGTGAATAGCGTGGTGACCGAAAGGCGGGATCCGGACAAAAGAAACTACCAGGGTAAAGCAAAACAAGGCAAGCAGAAAGAAAGCAATCACCTCCGCTCTGGAGTGGCACATGTCTATTGTCGGACTCAAGTGTCAAGGCACAAGGAGCGATCATGCGAAAGTTACATAGCAGCTGAAACCCTGGAAGGATTCGAAACAAACACATTGACATGTTTATTTCCCAAGAAACTGGCAAAACTTGATACAGTGAGCCGTCCAAGTCAGTGGCGAAGCGAGAACGGAATAGGCAAAGTGACGGTAAGGGCAAAGGGCACCGTCCAGTAGACAACAGAGTAAGTCATCGAGCGTTCGCTCGCGAGTTAGGAGCCCCAAACGCTATGAAGGGAAGCAGCAGTCAAACACGCTAGGCGCTAGGCACCCGAGCACGAAAGGGAAGCTGCAGGGCGGGCGCCTGCAGGGTACAATAAAACCATTGTGCACAATGGCCCTCGGTTTCATTCAAATCAGCATCCCAAGATTTGGGATGTCAGGCCCCAACAGCAGTTGGTACCAAGCCAACAGGTGGCCATGGCTACATGACACCATGCGCGTCCGTGTGTTTAAGCTGGAGCAATATATCCCATTATCAATGTATCCGTAGTTGTCAATCGAAAGACAGTCATGTCTTTCCGTTCATGCTCTCATGATTGTCTATTAGTGACATGGTGCAAAGGCGTGTGTCTCTTAAAAGTTGTCCATGCGGATCATGCGTTCCGTAGTGGCTTCAGTTTGACAAAAACACCTCAAAGCAAATGGCTCCAGTGTGAGGAGTAGCCAAATGCAGGGCATATAGGCTGCATTCGCAGCAAGGTTCTTGACACGGTTGTCAAAATCAGCATGGTAAACCCAGAACTGCAATACCTAAACCACGACGAGATGCGAAATTGAGGCTGTCGAATGATGGCTTCGATGCTGGATGGCATGTGTGTGTGTGTGTATTTTGGATTGGCCAGTCAGACCTCTCATTCGGCAGAATCCACAAACACGTGGCAAAGGCTACTGCTTTCTGGCTACAGGACACAACACAAGGGCAACAAAGCCAAAGAGTGTTGGGTTGGTCACAAGCGCCTCCATTCGAAAAGAATGGTATGACCCTCGAACACCTCTATGATTGGATACTTCTTGCAACTGGAAGAACCATTGCGCATCCCAAGCCTAGTACTGTACAAATAACCCATAGAAAAAGAAAGCCCTCTCTGGTTGTCTGTCAAGCAACAAGCAATGCCAACGCAAGGAACCCTCGCGCCTGTGCCAACTCAAGCATCAAGGAGCCGAACAACCATGCAGTGACAAAGGTCCATTTCCGCCTGCGCAAGCTCGCAGTGCTCCCTTGGATGAGTCCATGGGCCCACAAAGAGCAACACGTCTGTCGCTTGCACAGGTCATGCTCGCAACGTCGTGCACTTGCTTTTGTGAAAACTGGGAACGACTCGCCAATTCTTCACGAGGGCCCAAACGTCGAGGTCTTATAATGTCCAAGGATGCGACACATCATGCCCATGATGTTTATGTGTGACATCAAGCTGCATAGCTTGTGTTTGATGAAAGCAGTGCCAGCCTTTTGCAATGAGGACAACCGGAAAGAGTAAAGCTTGCTTCGGGGATGTAGCCAGTATGACACCACAGCATGGTAGTCAAGCAAGCAGCAGTGAGGAAGCAGAAGCAGTTAGACCTGTAAAGCTGCTCGGGTAATGTAGCCAAGAAAACAAAAGCATATGTTGGAAGAAACCAGCCCTCTGTTCTATTGTTTGTGCGGGGGTTCAAGCCCGAAAGGTTGCACACATGGTTTCATGCATCCCAAGGACACTGGTCCGATCTCCTCATCGCAAGCTTCCCCCACCACCCTCTCATTGACCCAAAATGGGTCTGAGGGATGACATTTGTTGAACCCATTGGTCTCGTGTGCCACAACGTGCTGAGAAACGTTTCAGATTTGCCCATGACTGAAAGTACCTTTTCATCTTCTCAAACTGTGAAACACCCAGGTTGCTGTCCAGAGGCAACACACAGAAAAATAGCTATTGATAGTTCTCCATTGAAAATCAGGGGTCTGATCAAGTTGGAAAAGGCCTCAAAAGCTTGGCTGATGATTTGGATTCTCAATGATTTTAGTGGGTGCATAAAGTCGGCGAGTACGCCCCTAAGCCATCAATGGGCGCGTCTGGAGTGATTGACATCAACAGGATCAGTCCAAACTGCCCGATTTGCCAGAACCACCCGCCTGGCAAGCTCAGCAGCCTAGGTCGAGCCACGCGAGAACTGCCTGCGCCTGCCTCGCGGCAGCCTGCCTCGCCGGCTGCCTACCTGGCCGCCTCCCTGCCTGGCCCTGGCTGGTTGGCTGGTCGGCTAGTTGGCTGCCTAGGGCCATGAATTATGACCTGCTTTGCTGCTTTACTGGAAGATATACTCCTGGCTCAGCTGAACGAATTGCTGACTGGTTGTTGCATTCGGGTATGCAAGTCCCGTTGGCCTTCGTGCGGTGGCAAGTAACCGTGTGGTCTATGAAAATGTTGCTGCCCCGAAGCATTTAGACTTTTCAGATGAGGTAGCCTTGATTTTGGCACTGCGATGGAATGACCATGCTACCTCCCATGTGCTGTGTCCTGCACTGTATCACAGAAAACGCCCTCGATCCAGATGGTAGCCGTATATCCCAAACAGCTCTTCTTTGTGTACGTGACTTCTGCTCTTCTTTGTGTGTGTGCTTTCTTTCAACACACTTGTCATGCATGGCAATCACTGGTTGTATGCACTGCAATTTATTGATGTGACACTTGCAAAGAGTCCCAAAGCCTGTCGATCCCTCTATGAGCAATTAAGACTCCCGCCTGGATGTTGGGCCCTCAAAAACTGGTGGATATGCACAAGTTGATCGACGACGGTGCATCAGCAACAGGCTGCAGGGGGTTGGTTAGCACAAAGGTCGGATCGTGCATATTGCAATCCACCCACACACACACAAAAAAGGCAACATTGTCACGATGCTTCCCAACCGCCACAAGCACTTTCTTATTTTCCGCTTCTCTCAGACTCTGGAGAGACTCAGAGAGACATGTGCCAAGCCCCGTCGGATTTCCAGCTGTTCGCTTTGCCACTTGGCCCTCCGGCACTCCAGGCGCCGCAGGCGCCCAGCCAGGCGCCGCTGAGGCGGCCCAGGTGAGCGCCTTGCGGAGCGCTTAGTTTGCATAGACGGGCAGACTGGCTGACTCAGCACGTCACCGGCCCGTACTTTTCGGTCGTTTTATCTAGTACCCGGAAAAGAACAAGCTGAGATTTTGCAATTGATGGGCTTCACTTCAACATTGAGAGAAAGCAAGTTCTCTGCATTGAAAAGGAAACATGCCAGCCGCAGATTGCAACTACTTGCCATGCGCCGCTGAGCAAGTGTTTGGTCTTCACTCACCGACTCACAAAAGTCAACTAGAGGTGCGCTGCTCATCAATGGCCTCTATATGCAACCAGCGGCTCATACACATGAGCGTTGTCACTTCCTGCAGAAGCATTGATTGATGTTTACTGCTGCCAAGCACGAACCCAACACTACATGGAGCTGAGGCTGAGTACAAAGCAAACCTCGGAATACAACAAGGATGCAAGCTGACAAAGCATGCGCAGCGTCCATAAGAAATACCTGAGCAAAAACCAGCAAGGAGCGGAGGTATTTGCAAACATGGGCTGTGACTCAGCATCAGAGAGTCGGGTTTGACTATGATGTGTGGTACAGTGTTTCTCTGCGAATCAGGGCAGGATACTAGTCAGCACACAGTTACAAATGTTGAAGTAACGTGACATGCCCAAGACGTTGCCATGAGAAGCATACGTGGATATATGTTATTCTTCGGTCCAGAATCCTGCTCCTGAGTCGCTGTTGACTTTGGCTAGCTCAAAGCAACATGTCTCTGAGCATATTCAGCCGAGCTTCGGAAAAGCTCCGCCAGCAAGGAGAAAACATTGCCCCGCACCTGGGGCATGGCAACCTGTCCCGACTTTGCTCGCTAGGCTTTCTTTGCGTCAAAAGCAAAGGATTGTTGGCACTTCACACCACGGCTTTTAAGATCCTAAGAAAGGTGCACAAAGCACTGAAGAACTGCTCTTGCCTACCATAGCTTGGTGGAGTAGTGGTTTGTCAGTTCGCGATGTATTGACAAACTTCACACAGGCTCTCACTTCATTGAGCAAAATGTAATGATTCTAAAACACATTCTAAAGCCTACAAAAGCGCAAGGGACCTTCACCACGGAAAGCTCCTTTTGACCCTCACAAACAGAAACTAGCCAGTCGGTCGCAATCCCTACCAAGCTTTGCTTCGCCATAGATTGGCCAACCGTGGACCAAGCGATCGGCGGTTTGCGGTTTGCGAAAAAAACAGAAAAGACGTCTCACAACGGGTGGCCTCCAGCACGAGCTCAAGGTCTGGATACCCGAGCGCCTCGAGCCAAGACGGGTAAGTGTGTCAAGGCCCGTAGGCCCGTAAGTAGGAAAAAGATATCCACACAATACACGTCTTCCACGGGATGGAAAAAAGAAGCCTTGCAACACCCAACGAGCGTTTCAGAGCTGGATCTCAAGAAAGTATAGCATGCCGGCACTGTTCCACTGGCTCTGTCTGTCTGTCAGGCCGGGGCACGCCGCATTTGACCATCGTCAAGGGAACGGAAAATTGAACCACACTAGGATATCAAGGCAGCAGTTCCCTGAGCTTGAGACAAAGGCTCTATATGGATTTTCCCGATGGGGGGATCTAGACGGGAATTAGTCTTCTGGAAGAACAAAATGCATGCTGTGTGGTGGTGGACAATGTGTAGGCTGTCACAAAATCCCCGAAGCTGAGGGCCGCTGCAAAGACTGCGAACTCCTCCTGGCAGCTTGCGCAATGCGAATCGAGGTCTTTGCTGAAGCAGAAGTTGAAGAAGTTTGGCAGTTGGGTTTCCGCTGCAAAAGCAGTGGGGATATAAGACAAAGTACAGCACAAAGATCTCACTTGTTCAAGGGTTGCCGAGGAAATGTGTAATCAAAGCAGTTATTGAAATGTCGCAAGCAACATGAGGCTGCTAAGCCAACGTGAAGAAACACACAGGCCGGCGGAAGGACTTTTGCACGTCGTTTCACTGCTGAAACCGGGCGAGACTGGGCAACAATGCGAAGGCTGCATCACCCTCTGCTAGATGTAACCAGTTTCGAGAATCTAAGGCAATGTCTACGTTTGCTATCTTCCTCAACTTCTGCCACGGGAGAAGTTTGTTCTTCGCTTTGGTCAAAATCTGAACGGGCAAGCAAATCAAATTTTAAGTCCTGGAAAACTTAGCGGGATGGATACGCATGCGGATGCGTTGTCTTTGGCCCACAGGAATCCTCAACCGCCTGGTGTTGCTCGTTTTTGCTCGCAGTTGTCAGATCTGTCGTTTGGTGGTCATGCTTGATTCACAAGAAGAGACCCAACGAACAAATGGCTCCGAGACGCCCTCCTCCATTGCCAAGACGCAGTCTAGTTTCAAAAAGGACCAATTCGAAACAAGAACTCACCCTCAATAAGAATCACCGAATCACCCTCTGCATCTTCACTCTGCTAAACGCCTCAACGGCTCGACGGCTCGACGGTTTCTGGGTAGTAGTCGTCGCCTCCTCAGACACAAAGCGGGGGGCCCAGATGTTCTCCGCAGACTCCGATGCCCAGGAGCCCTGCCTACACAGGACGTTCTCGCTTGCGCTTAGAATAAGTTTGTTCATGAAAAGAAGCCAAACACATGTGATCACAGAAAATGCAAAGTGGGCCACACATACTTGGTCCCTCGCAAGTTGAAAAAACATGCAGAGAAAAAGGGAAGAAAAAAAACATGTATGTGTATATATATATATATTTATACATGTATTATATCAAAGCCATCGGCTACGTGCAAGCGTGGATATACCAGCCTAATGTTTGGAAGCGGTTGATTGGTACTAGCAGGCGCCTCAAAGCCAGATAGCTGACTGGCTAGAGCCTATGAAGGCCCAGAGCTGGGAGCCAAATGCCGAACATACCCCACAGGGACGTGAGTTTCCTGGAACTTCTCTTTGGCCACCCCAACCCCATTTTGGGACCCCTGTAATCCCTTCCCCTGATGAGTTGATGTTGAAAGTGTGTCGACCGAAAATTCCAGTCCCCAAATATCCGATTCTAAGCCACTCTGACCCCCAATCCAGCCACATTCGGCAGCCCATGCTAAACCAATACTAAACAAATACTAAGCCAACGCTAAATCAATCTTCAACTTGCTTTTACTTGTCAATAACTTGTTCGGTTGCCTGGAAACCGTCTTCAACGACATTTGAGCCTGCAAAGGGGAGTCCCATTTGGACAATCACCGAAAAGGACCAATAAGGATCGAGACTGAGGGACCAAACGCGGCCGCCCTGCCCCCCAAATGTGAGGCGGGCCGAACGCATAGTGGCCGCACGCAGACAACCGCAAGCATGCCCGACAGAGCCCAGTGACATCCTTTTTTCGTGCTCAGTAGCCGATATGTACAATAGCCACTGCCACTCGTGTCTTGAGGCAGCCTCTCTATGAGCTTAGAGATAGCCTCCCACATCGCCTTCTGTACAGGACGGAAGGTACGGCTGAGATCCCCAGTTCTCACGATCAAACTTTCACGTAACAAACTGTTCAGTCATGGCAAGGTGGTCCCTGGGTACCACCTAGTAAGTCAGTAATTGTCATACCCGCATTGTGTTCCTATTGTTGCGAACTGGGTCAAAACACTGCCCGCAAGAAGGTCAGCTAGCACTGCCAGTGAGTTTGGCTCCGGCAGGTGCTGAACTGTAGCTGAAGATTGCGGGATCATTCAAACCAGCCGTAAGACTGCATGATTTATGTTCAACACACTGCATCCAGAGGAGAATGCATCTGCTGTGTGGTGTGTCAGATTTCCATCGGCACCATACGGTATTGGTCTAGCAGGTTCTCAGTTGAAGAGCGGCCTTCGCAAAGAACCTGCGTTTACTCGACATTCCTCTTGCTCTTGTAGTCGTTGATGGCTGCCTGAATGGCTTCCTGGGCCAACACCGAGCAGTGAATCTTCACCGGAGGCAACTTCAAATGCGAGGAGATGTCCTTAGCTAACGGAAAAGCCATCCCACCCAATGCACTGTCTGTTTGCTGACTGACCTGGACTGAAGGGCGCAAACTCTACCGTTAAAGATTGCCCTATGACCGCTTGCATTCGTAGCAGTCGAATTCTGCGAACTTTCAAAGGACAATTACAAGCAAACGGCTGTAAATTCCTTTGCTTGTGGACAACAACAGATCTGAAACGTTCGGGCAATCAGATTGCGCTGCCGAGACTCTGTATTCCTAATCCCCGCAGCCTCGTCGATACTTTGGCCAATAATCCTTGCAGTCGCAGATTGGAGGTCAGTGGAAATATCCAAATGCATTCTCATGACGTACAGTCGTACACGTCCAACAAGTAAGCACCGGACTGCTCCAACTTCAGCATGGTGTGTTAGACATGTTGAATTGTATTTGTGTAACGAATTGAGGTGTCAAAGCTGTCCTGTTTCTCAACAAGGCCTGTATCTGCTCAGCTTGAACAACACATTCCAATCTACAGCCACTCTGATGCACTCCGATCTGTTCGCATTCTTCCCAGTAGCAAACAACATACGAAATTGTATGCCAACCCATCAAGCCAAGTTCAGCATGATTGCAGAACTCTGTCCTCTCTGTCGCATAGGAGGAACTAGCAATGGCAGAGCCGCAACCAAAGGTCTTGAACTTTGCATCTTGGATCACGCCGTCATCGCCCACCTGTAGAAAGGTTTTTTTGGCTTGGGAAGCACAAACGGTCGGATGCTGGGACGGAATAATACGAAGAGTCCCCTCCAAATTGTGAACCTCTGCTTTTGGCCAATTTCCATTTCAGCACAACATCCCCAGACGGCCAAAGCTTGACACTTATGTCATGCCGGCCCACCCACTCACCCAACCGACCAACACAAAACACAACCACACAACCACCTACCCACACATAAAAGAGAGGGACGGTTAGCAAGGACACGCACAGAAACACCTGCAATACGGAAACTTCTGCATGCGATTCTTTTGTCTTTGGCTAACCAGTAAAAAAAGCACGAGGCAAACAATTTAACTGATGATTGTCTCTGTCAGTGTGTTGCGCACGTCTTCACGTTCTGCCACAATGCGGCTGTGCAATTGCCCAAGATGCTGAACTTTCCCGAGTCCTGGGCTATCTGGCCAGAATTGAAATCTGGGAATGAGAGGAGAGGATTTGATGAGAACGTACAGGTCCGCTCTCGCGCGGTTGAGTTTCAGGGGCCACTGGACACAAGCTCCTTTTCTGAAGTTGCAGCTTGCCATCAGCGAGATGGTGAAAACAGATATGGGCACACCTATTGAACTAGAACGCGGAAGAAGCCCTTCACTGAAATGGACAATGCACGCTCACATAAGGTAGGACTCAGAGACAAAGACATCTCGCTTCAGCCACATCCCCCGCCAAAACTAACAGCCGCACTAACAAAAGAGAGGTATCAAGAAAGTGATCAATCATTACATGCTGCTCACCGGGGCCTTTCCAGGCATGGGCACCCTGTGAGGTGCACCTACAAATGGATCGGAGGTTCTCGCAGTTGTTTGTCCATGTTGTTTCCTCCGGTGCGTGAGTGTGTGTGTGTGTGCGTGTGTGCTTTTCTCATGATGTTGGCATTCTGAGCTCCCTTGAAGGGTTCCCTCGTCAGTTTGAGTCAGTGAGCCCCGAGTCCCCGCCTTCACCTGAAGCTTGATGACATCGCCGCAGGCGGCCTTGCCCACCAAGGCCGTGCCCACATGTTTGTCAGCCTGAGAGCCACCGCGCGTGGCTGACGCAATCTGTGAGCTGTTGAAGCAGCTTGAAGTCCAACCAACGCAAGCCTGTTCATCCGCATTTCTGTTGGAGTCTTGCGTGGCTGCATGCAACCACCGGTTGGAAGCCACTGTAATTCGTCAGTAGCAGGGGATTGTGTCATCGCTTAAAAGCTGGGGACCTCAAACAAGCTGAACATACTGCGATTCTTTCGGATATTTCTTGGTGGCCGCCGGTGTTTCTTGGGCTCAAAGCTAATGAGATCTGCTTTCGCAGCAAGCTCTGCCCCACATACCATCAACAAGTACAAACAATGCAGCAAAATAGACGGCTCTATGTCAATCAAATGTGACTTGATGGTCTGGATTTGGGAGTTCGACCCGAATTCATTTATTTTCATTGATTCCAGCCTTGGGTGGATCTTGAACCAGCAACTACAAGTGTGTTAGAGAGCCAACCCGTCCTTGTCGAGGCTGCCAACGTTTCGAGGGTTGGTGAAGTGATCATGGACAGCAGCGTGGTAGCCACGGCTTCCTCGGCGGAGAGCCCGGCGGAAGGCCAAGTGTGCAAGAGCCATAGCGGGCGTGGTAGAGCAACGGCGCGCGCGACGTTGAGCCCTGTAGCGGCTGGGAGCAAACCACAGCGAGGAGATTAATGTCAAGTCCGAACCTGAGGCGCTTGCCAGCAAATGGCTGGCCAAAATCAGAAAGGCGGGCACAGCAGTACTTATGGCTTCAGTGTCCTTAATGAAATTGAGCCATCAGTCATAGAAACGAGTTTCTGAGCTTCCCCCGTGTTGCAAGGTCAAGGTCTAAGGACTGCAAGGTCTAAGGACTGGAAGCGTTTCTGACACTCGGAACAGGAAGCGTCAGTCCCTCCAAAGAAATCCCGTGAGCGATCTCAGGCTGCCGGGCTTGGGCGCATGTAGCAGCGCACCGATCCTGAAGGCAAGGGCCACGGAAATTGGACGTCACATGCCATTTCAGGACGAAGGACATGAAGGACGTGTAGAAGGACGTAGAACTTGCTGGAATCCAACCATGCGGCTGTGGGCCAAATGTGTCAATTCAAATTTCAGACTCGCTCTCAGATGACAATTGATCGAGGTGACTTCATGGCTTTGGGATCTCGTGGCAAATGACGACGAAAATCTTCTCTCATCACCCTGGGACCCTGGCGCATCCCACCAGCTAACATGGGGTGGCCAGGTGGATCCAATTATTCTATTGCACATGGCAACAGGTACCAAGCTGCCCTCAAAACAATGATAAGAAAGAGCGGCACGATGACAAGCAAACATATAGTGATATCATGATGACCACTGCCAACGCCTATGTTGGCAACCACCAATCGACTAGAAGCAGTCAGCATTGCACCACTGGCACTCGGTGGGACAAGTTCGAGGTGCAACGCAGGTCTGGGGATACAAGCCCGCTATGAACTCAGAGTGAGCTCAAGACCATATTTCAGTTCCTCCGCATATTGCGTCGCTGGTATCCGAAATCATCTGCTAGTCAAGGTGCTGATTCATTTCCCGCTAGACTGGATGTTAATTTAATCACAACTTCTCAGAAGTTGTGGTTTTTGTATACGGGGAACACGGTGCAAAACACCAGAGAGTACAAGCAATCTGCATGAATCCTGAGCAGGGTGAAGAAATGATATTCAAGGGGGATCGTCATAGCTCAAGATGGATGTGCGTAACGTGTCATACCTTGTGCCAGGAAGCACTAAAGCAACGACGCCACGAGTTCGAATCCCACTCGCCAGTGCACGCTGTGGTTCGAACTTCACACCCCGCATTGTTTGTGAGAATCGCATCTGTCAAATCATTGTGAATCAACAAAAGCGTCAAGCAGGAAACCTAACTTCAACCCAATTGTACTGTATCTTGCTTGAACCCAAATCAGTCAATCAACAAAGGGCGTGCTCTGCGCCTCACATCCTCAGAGGAACCCGCTGTGGCCAGCAGCAAAGGCGCTGCCCTCAGACAAGGAGCGTGAAACAGCCCGGCCACATGCCTGTGTTTTAGCCCTCGGAAGCTGGGGCATGGAGGAAGTGCGCCTGGCCCAAGAGACCATAGGGAAGTGCCTGGGAATACACTACACCCCTGCCAGGGACAAGAGAAGTGCCTCTGCCCGGTCGATGACACGCCCGCAGAGTCAACGACTCTGGGTAGGGCCAATGTTCTGGAGATCAGAACTTTGCCGAGAAGGTCATTCACTAGTGGTTGCTCCAACGAATGCGTGTGTGTGTGTGTTGAAATACACACAGGTTCACCTGCAATAGGAAAAGAGGTACTATCTAAAGTAGGGCTGTAGAATCGAAATCTCAATGAATATCTGGCCCATTGAGACCACAAAGTTATTGCATTCTTTGAAAGGCTTGCCGAGTCGCGGTCTTCGTATGTTTGCGTCATGAGAACCAAAAACGTCTTGCAAAGCGTACACGAGATGTTCAGGTGGCCCAGCTGAACTGGGGCAGAAACAGTCACTCCAAAGGATTGAACCAAGGTCCCGACCAGCCCGTGGATGTTGCATTTGCCTGGCTGGACGCGCTGTCCCGCAGAAGTCCCCCCAACAAGCCCACAAAAGCAAAACGACTGCCACATACTAACTGGAAACTCTGCAAGTAGGGTCAAGGCCACTCCGCAAAAGTCTGGAAAGCTTTAGATGCCAGAATGCAAAAAGCCAAGAAATGCCGCCTGGATCATGTCATTTACAAGGAAGCAGGGCGTCCCAAATCAACCTGTGTCCCGGTGGAGGTTTGTGATAGTTCCCACAGACAGCAACCAGCGGCAGGTCGCCAAAACAAAGATAATCAGCAAGATAGTTCTTTAGGCAAATGTGAAATGCTCTGTATGTTAATAATCAGGATCACACTGCTCATCAACGTGTATTGCTTGATGCCAGCAACGCACAAACCACGTAAACCCTGATGTTACAAGTGAGCCGTGTTACAGTGCACATGAGCAACTCCTCCTCTTTGACAGGCTGCAATCCAGCTGAAAGCATGTCATGTAGGCATCAATGCTGGCCACAAGAAAACATTGACGAAATCATATTATACACATAACTATACATGTATATACACTCGATCCGCTCAATTGCGACAGCAGTCTCTTTTCTAAAGTCTTTGAACACGGATGCAGCTTGACTGGACTATCCTGGTATATACCTTGTGCGAAAAGCAAACACAACTTGCGTCTAGCGCGCCTCCAGCCGGAAGTCCACCGGGAGTGTGCTGGAACGCGGCAAGGGCAACACCTTTGGGAAGCCGTGACAGACACCCTACCCCCCGCGGGAAACCACGTGCTCTCACGCTCTCCCAACGTCAAGCAGCAAACAGGGTCATTCCAAGAATCACAACAAGTCTGTGAGACGGCACTCCTAATACACATCACTTCCCAAATGCGGGGTCTCGGCCAGCCGCGCAACGACTCCTCGGCCTCAACCGCGCAACAGGCTCCCTTTGCCAACCCCTGCCGCGACCATTTGGGTCGAATCCAGATTGAGGACAAGCTGGGTCACAAAAATAAGCACAACCATAATTCACAACCAGCATTTGCTTTCCTGTGAAATCATGCCTAAAGCGCCAGGTTCCTCCACAGACTACCTGCCGTCAGGGAGAGCCTGTGCCACCTTGGTTTTGATGAAACTATCTGGGCGGTCTGGATCTAGCAGGTGTAATTAGGCACAAGGCCCGCACATTGCAGCTTGCTCAAGTGATGAGAAGAGGTGTTCTCAACATGTGCATCACATCACCGCAATTCGCGCTTTTTAGGAGTGAGGAAGCTGCGTACCGCCAACCAGTGCTTAAAACAAATGTCACGGTATGCCACTAGTAATTTTCGGCCACCAACAGATCGAGAAGCTGGTTTCTATTTGTCTTGAGCAGGTCCTTGTATCCGCTCCACCAAGCACCATGACCGCATCTCCGTTCTCCACTGAGGCAGCTACCCGCTGGAAGGAAGCATCTCAGTGGCCTCCAAGTCATCAGAAGCCAAGACCTGCGGCAGCTGATCTCCAGCAATGGCAGGCACGCGCAGTTGGCCATGTATACTCACCAAGTATTTATTTCTTGATGGACTCTGGCAACCTGTGCCATGTGTTCACCTGTAATGAGCATTGCAACACAGCGAAATTCTGGATGAATCAAGACAACTCGGCAACCGAAGTGAAGAATGTCTGGTTTCAAGGATCTTCATACTTTACAACAGTCATGCCGCACACGCGCAAACACACACACACACACACACACACACACACACACACACACACACGCACGCACGCACGCACGCACGCACCGCGCGCACGCGCGCGCGCGCGCCGCGCGCGCGCACGCGCACGCCGCGCGCGCACGCTGCACGCACGCACGCACGCACGCACGCACGCACGCACGCACGCACGCACGCACGCACGCACGCACGCACCCACCCACACACACACACACACACCCACGCACGCACGCACGCACGCACGCACGCACGCACGCACGCACGCACCCACCCACGCACGCACGCACGCACGCACGCACGCACGTGCACGAACGAACAAACGAACAAACGAACAAACGAACAACAAACAAACAAACAAACAAACAAACCAAGAATCAATCAAACCAACAAACAAACAAACAAACAAACAAACAAACAAACAAACAAAAAACAAAAACAAAAACAAAAAAAAGAAACAACACAATACAATACAATGCAGTACAATACAATACAATGCAATGCAATACAATACAATACAATACAATACAATACAATACGACACAATACAATACGATACAATACAATACGATACAATACAATACGATACAATACAATACGATACAATACAATGCGATACAAACAAACAAACAAACAAACAAACAAACAAACAAACAAACAAACAATACAACCAAACAAACAAACACACACACACACACACAAAAGAGAATAAGAAGAAGAAAAAAAGGAAAAAAGAAAAAACAAAAAACATGGATGCTGAGGCTCGCTGTCCTGCCAGGCCGATCGCGTCCCAAAGTCGAGTATTTGTTGTCGCTTCTTGAGATGATAGTGGCCTGTCTTCGAGCGCTTGCGGGCAGGTTGTCTTCATCCCAGCCCAGTGATGGACGATACAGACTCACCTTGGGAAAACGTCGAAACTCCTGCCTCAGCGAAGGTTTGATCGGTCAAGTATGTACTTTACTGGATTCCGCGCGACTCGCCAGCTCCAAGCTGGACAACGGGCAGTAATAGGCGTGTTTGCATATGGTTGAGATTAGAGCGGGTGGACGGTCGCTGCCAATTTGGTCCAGGGCCCCGACAGCACTGGGCCTAGGCTGCTGCTGCCGCATCGCAGAGGCTCCTGAAGTCGGATGTCTTCGATCACCTCAAGGCCTTTGTGAGAACTGCCCAAGGGCTCAGCTAAATAGACCTACTCCTCAGACCAGACTCCACAGTCTGAAAGGCTGGAGTTTACTTGAAAACACGTACCTGGAGGCCCGGATTTTGACCATCAGAATGGCCAACATGTTGAGCATTGGACAGAGCCTCCAGGACTCCAGGAGAAATGCGCAATGCTTTGCCCCAAAAAAAACACGCAGCAAAGTGGCAGTTGCTTGTGAGATCTATGTGGCTGCCCCCTTCATGGATCACTCAGGGGGACTTTAAACGCCTGGAATCAGAGCTGTCCTACAAGCTAAGCCGAGTCCGATTCTCTCTAAAAGCTGCTCAACAAGTGTTCAGAGTCATGCCAGCATGGGCAAACGGCAGACCCAGGATTTGATCCATCCTGATATTCCGCTGTGCTCGGTGACTCAGTGCTTCCTGAAGCAGTGAAACACACACCCTGCCTGCAAAGGGTCCGCATGCCAGTGTGCCTAAGTCCCGTGAGAATCAGCCACAGTCGCAGATTGCTTTTGGACTGGCTTCTTGTCGACCAATGCGCGCATCCGAATGAGTTGTTGGCTGTTTTGCCTGATGCCTTGCTAGTTGGCTGCAGGTCCATCAAACACCTAGTGCCTTGAGCTAACACCAAGGATAATGTCACTGGATTTGTGATGTTGAAGAGGCGTTGTGCTCTTGAGCTCCCTTCCCGAGGAATACATTTGCACAACGCCAAAGCACGCACACATTTCAGGATTGATGAACAACGGTTTACAAGTAACAACAAGTTCGGCCTAAGCTCGAACGCCGGGCTCCAAACACAACCTGACAAACAGCTCAAATCCCAGGTACAGTCGGGTCCAGCCGGGAAGACACGGGGTTAAGGTGGGCATGATACCAACTCCACTAGCCAAGATACATCATGTGTGTGTGTGTGTGCTTCACAATGCACAACCGCGGTCAAGGGCCAAGAGATTCCGAGACACACTGTCATTCTCAAATCAGGGCTAGCATTTTCCACCCCAACAGCACAAGCAAAGCTTGGAACAGTCATCTTGAAGCAAGCACAACCCAACCCCGCACCGCTGAATCATAGGCCGCTGATTTATATGTGCCCCAAGCACAAGCTTCCGGCGACTCGTCGGTGCTCGGCTTCTTTGCAGGATACAGCGGCAGTGGGCCTGGTCTCAAGACCACCCCACTGAGGGCTGCGCCCAGCCCACTCGCCGTGCTTTGGCAGGAGGCGTTAGCACCACGCGTGTTGCCTCCAAGACAAGGCTTGGCCCTAGGAGCAGCTCAATTGGCCAATTTGGGTTATAAACCTATGACATTCACCTATAAAACTTATGAGCTGCTCAACCTGCGGTTGCAGGAAGTGATGTTAATTCTTGTGAATAAGGCCCTCTAGATGTCAACATATGTTGTCGTTGATGATCAAATGCGTTAGACTTTAGGCTGACTTGTTCGATGGCGCAACTGATGCAATTGCAGTGTTCATTGCCTTCACTCAACATAGCACCGCTTGAGAATTGCGACATCTACCAGCTTGATTACACGAAAGAGAAGCCTCTAAAAGCCCTCGTGACTGAACCTTCTGTGCATCCCAAGTAACTCGGATGTCTCCTCACCATGTCACAGCTTATGTGTTGCCACGCACAACTTACCATTGCCTAAACAACCAAGATGTTCCATCTTATCTAACACAAGGCACTTTACAACATGTGGAAGCCGTGCTCCTCAAAATATGAGTGCTTGCAAGGCTTGCCTTGCCACCCCCACCTTTCAGGGCTCTGCAACATGACCTAAGCAGCCCCGCTCCACGCAGAATTGGTCGGCTTGCAAATCAAGGAATTCAACTTGATTCAACTTGAACTGGACCTCAGGATCTTGTGCAAGCCGCTACTCAAACGATCTTCTAAGCAATTGTCTCGCTTCCAGTTGAAAGTAGACCTTTTGCACTAGTAACCAGCCAAAGTTGGGCTGCTCCGCAGCAATACAGCACAGTTCTTCTTTCATGAGGCCTCGCCGGGAGGCTGCAGCTGCAGCAAACATGCCTCACAGTTGGCTCTGAAATTCAGATTCTGCTTATGTGCGCATGTACAAAATCCGTTCTAGAAAGTAGTCGTCTCTCCCAGGATCGTGAGCGCTAAAACTTATTGGAATGTTGGTCCGCTTCTTGGGAGCAACTTCCTTTCAACCATCCAGTGTATCCCTGCGACATGTCAATACTGTCCAAACGTTGAGACAGGCTTGGTGAAAGAAATGAGTTGTTCTTCACAGTATCCTCACTTACCCAAAATGTGTTGTGTATACAGATTTGAGGTATTCCGTGAAGCCAATTGCGGCAGTCAGTTGCTCTATTGGCAAATTTGGCCACACAGTGGCAGCTCCACGCGAAGGTGCATTTCATTTGGTTTGCATCGGTCTCCCTCAAGGCTAGTCTTGGAGAGGATAGAATTGCACCATGAAACTCCCTTTTGCTTTGCCCCCCCCATTGCGACAGGATGTGTAAGACGCTTTGGACAAGCGACAGCACCATAGAATGTGCAAAAAAAGGTCCGAAATTTGATGAACCGCTGCACATCAAAGGTAAGGCTGTTCTACCTAGTAAGAGTGCCAAGATTCGTGCAGAGGGCCTGCCTTCACTGGGAACTGCATGGAGATGGCCTCCACCTGCCGCCAGGACGCCTGTGGCACGGCTCTGAATACCAATATGAAACAGACAAGCCCCTGGTCCATCCACTTTCATGCCCTCAGAATTCACTGCGAAGCATCACTGTTTGGACATACAGAACACGACAATGGTCAGATTCGATACCAAAGACTCAAAGACATCTGACGAGCTTGAACCAACAACAAGCAAACCAGAAAACAGATCTCAGGGCGTCTGAATCACAGATCGAGCAACGACCAAAACAAAACCAAAAAAAGAATACAACACCGCCTTAATCGCCACTAGAACGCCCCAGTCAAAATTACGCAAAAAAGAACACGATTGCACAATTACTTTGTAGCAAGCACTCATTCGACTAGGCTCCAGAGTGAAAAACAACACCTGATATCTCTGTATCCCTGCAACGGAGCGCCCGCCTTTTCATCCTCCCAGGCCAGCACCTCGGACATGCGAAGTCGAGCTCACTGGGATGTCTCGTGGTATATCGCGATGCATTGCTTGACTTCAACACATTTCTTGATGGATGGCCTTCACCCGAGAAAGGTCCAAACAAACGCGGCTTCGCAATAGGGTCAAGTTTCGGAGTCTTTGCGTTCATTTCTGCATGTCGGAAGGGAGAACCATTTCTCGGGTGCACCTTTCTCCGCTGCCTCGCGAATGCCCGGTATTGAAAAACAGGCGGGGGAACACATCAGTATCACCACACTACCACTGTCACTGTTCACTATCACTATTTGAGACTCTTGAGAGATGCTCAGAGTGTTGATTGCAAAGTGTGTTTATGCTCAATCCCGCGAAAGACCCGCAACTTGCAAATCAAGCACTTCTTGTGTTGGTGACTACCAATGAAACAATGTGCCCATCAGTGACTGTTTGTTAAAAGCCCGCTGCTACAGCAACAATTTGAGCCACGGCCTTGAGTGCCAGGCAGCTTCACTGCAATTCAGCCGGTCTGCGGGGTCAAAGGTCTGCGCGTCCAGTTCGGCACGATTCAGCCATGCGTTGAATTGACTTGGGTAACAGTGGACTGTGGAGAAGCCCTCTAAACTTGTTGAAGCCAAAAGCCAAAACAACATACAATTTGAGAGGGGGAAGAAAATGTCTGAAACCACTGAACTGAATTATGCCAGCCCTGTCTCACACATGGAACGCCGGCTGTCAAGCTCTCGAAGCCCTGGAGTGCCTGTGGGAATCCTTTATCCTACTTCTCTATCAGACACCCAGGTAATAGCTATACCTTTGTATACAAAAATGAGACGGGCCTATAACTCCCACGGACTTCTCTTGGAAGTGGGGTCCGTACCCGTGTTATGGTCTCACGCAAAGGTTCCTTTCCTGCATTGCGGTCGCATTGCTTTTGGAAACACCAAACGTGTCCAATGTTTGAAAGCAAAAGCCTGAGTTCGTTCTCTTGATTTGTAAAGGTCAGCCCCTGCCTCGGGATTTGGCTCTTCGAAAGATCTAATTACCGAGCTGTCGCGTGCAAAGGCACAAGTTTGTGCGCTGGGACACATCCAACTCCAATTGGTGAGGTCTCTCTGAGCACTGTCTGGAAAACAGGAGACTGAGATTTCAAAATTACAGGTACCCGGCCTACCTTCAGCTTCATTGGTTTGAAGCCAACTGTCTCTTCAGGTTGCCCGGGGTTCACCTGCGAATCAAAGGAGAAGTATGCTCCAACAAAGGGGCGGAAGAAGGGAGGCATTTCCTTCTTGCAGCATATCCAAGGACTTACCTGTGGATGTCAGTAATACTACCAACTCTTCTGAGCCTTCTTCTTTGATGGCTTACTCTGAGCTTGCTTTCAGCTCATCCTTAAACCATCCCTAGAGTCCTAGAGGTACAGGCACAGGGCCCCTTTGAAGTGTGCCTCAGGATCTCTAGTCTACCCATGGTGATGCAAGTCCAGGTAATCCTTCACGTTCCCGCGCTGTCCCGCATATGCCTTCGGGCTCATAAACAGCCAGTGGCATCCCCGGCGCACAAGCTCGTCCCAGTCATACACACACGACGCCGGCCGTTCGGTAGAGCACGGCACCTTGCCAAAGCGGTAGGCCCTTGCAGCGAGGCCTCGAAGCTTCGACATGTGCTCTTCCGAGAGCTCCCAGCCCCCGAGCGCCTCCAAATTCGACGCGAGGCGGTCTGGGTGGATGCTCTTGGTAATGACCGCATTGCCAAGCTGGATGTTATACCTGAGGAGAACCTGAGTCACAGCAAAAACCCCAAGAATAAAATCCTATACCCAAAACCAAATACGGAACGGAATTGTAAGAGCGGCTCCATCTATTTCTGCTTGGGAATTCCTTTTACAATCGCTCACTACCAGGAATTTAACTTCTCCCCACCGTCCCCACCTGTGCAGCAGTCTTCCCGACACTGGAAGCGATGCCGCAGACGACAGGATCGGACAGAAGGTGCGGGTCCCCAGGCTGGCGCCAGGGCGAGTCGGCAGAGCCAAGGGCACTGAAGGCCGTGATGAGAATGCCCTGCTGGCGGCAAAAGGCCTGGAGAGCAGACTGGTCTGCATACGGGTGGCACTCCACCTGGTTAACAGATGGGCGGATGGAGCACGAATCAAGAATGGTGGTGAGCTGGGTGGCGTCGCAGTTTGACACGCCGATGCTGCCGACAAGCCCTTGGGATACAAGACCCTCCATGGCCGCCCACGTGCTTGTCAGAGGGATGTCCGCAAAGGCAGGGAAGCCGTCCGGGTCCAGTGGAAAATCATTGCCGCCGGGCGGCTGGGGTTTGAAGGCATAAGGGTGATGAAGCAGGTAGAGGTCAAAATAGTCCAGGCCCATCTTCTGTAGGGAGCTCTTGCACGCAGTTTCCACCAGAGACGGATCATGGTGGGTGTTCCACAGCTTCGAGGTCACCCACAGCTCCTCCCGCGGGACTTTCTGCCCGCAGCCGACCAATGCGCTGAGTGCCCGACCGACTTCCGCCTCGTTCCAGTAAATATATGCGCTGTCGATGTGTCTGTAGCCGATCCGAAGCGCTTCCCTCACGCAGCTGCCCGCAGCGTCAGGAGCCACCTTCCAAAGCCCAAGGCCCACCGCCGGGATGGAACGGCCGCAGTTGAGCAAGAAGGCGCGAGCTGCCATGGGCTCGGAATAGTAAAATATAACTGTAGTCAATGAATATAATTGTATGTGTATATATATATATTTATTTATATATATATATATATTATGTGCTTAATTGTATTGGATGAACGTGGAAAGTACAATACATGTATATGTCTATGTGTGTGTGTGTGTGTCGATCATGTGCAGAATATATCGGCTTCTTGTCTGTGCTGACTTGACGGATCCCTATGTTGCAAGCATCTTGCTTGTCTATGGAGCAGGCTTTGAAACAACGGCAAAGTGCTGGCGATGTTCTGCAGCGAAGCACTTCAAAGGCATCGAGCTGATTGAAAATGACACGTCAATCTTCTTGCCCGTCGTTTTCCTTGCTGTCGGCTCTGCATGGGCAGTTTGATCCGCAAAGTACGCAATTCCGCTACCAGGCTTTTGGGGTATCTGATCTAATCCCTCGCTTCGCGCGACATGTCGCGGCCCTCTCGCCTCCCCTCGTGTGCTGCTCTCAGGCTGCCGGCGTATCGGCTTCGGCTCCTCACATTCGAAAGGAACAGCTGGGTGCTGTTTCTGTTCTGCTTCGGAATCAGAGCTACGTCGCCAGGTACGACTCGGAAATCAACTGCCATCAGCAGGTATCATCTCAGCGTCAATCATGATCAACTCAGCTATGCTAGTGCTTAGAACGCCAGCAATTGTCAGCAATCTAACCTCGCACAAACGGATCCCTGTCCTCCATGAGCAGAAAGCTAAACACACCTAGGAGGGGTGCAAAATGTGCAGAATTGTCAACAGCATAGCTGTGCATGCATGAACATCCGAAACCAAAACAACATGAATGCCTGAAAGCATGCATGCCCAGTGCGAATTAAATGGGGTCCCTGCAAGAGTTTAGAAAAAATCAGCTTCTAACATGTCTCGATTGACATGCACAAGGTTCTGTTCTGGATGCCCATTGTTTCCCATTGGAAGTGCTGTCATGAGCTGACCGAACGACGGCTCTCATATGCACCGCACCTCCGCTCCTCGGAAAGAGCTGTGTCTGATCCAGCCTTGGCCACGCTCCGCAGACGGGCCAAGGCAATGCGGTATGCTAAAGAAGATCGTCAAGAAAAGCACCGGGTCAGTGGTGAGATGGCTTTGTTGACCCCATGCTGTCAGCTCATTCAAGTTGTGTCCACACATTGTAAACATGTGCATATCGACAAAGTCTGTGGAAGCTGTTTGTCCATTTCGCGTCCAGGGCCTGCGCCGGCTCAATGGGACCGCCTGGCCATCGAAGCAGAGGTCACTGGCCACTTCCAGCAAAAATAATAATGTATTGCCAAAAGCGAAGAAAAGTAGCAGCAAAGCGGTGAACGGCAATAGTTTGTTGCTTTAGTAAATTGTTTATGCCAAGAGTTGCATTCAAGTACAGATGAGAGTCAAACCAAACGCTTCGACGCATTGAAGCCCCTTTGAAGCTCAAAAAGCCTGACCTGCACCTTAGCAGGTTATGAGCCCAAGGTAGCTGAAAGGACATGAGGTCCAGGCGCCGCAATGCTCAGTTAGGAGCTCAAGGCGCAGAAGGAGCTGGAGGCGATGGTGGAGAAGGAGAACCTCTAGCGGTGGAGGATGGAGATCCTCATGAAGAACAGGAGCCGGGGGAGGGAACGCAGAGGGCACCTGCCCCGGGGGAGAACGTGCAGCCGGCACCTGGGTTGGAGTTGATTGGACAGGAGATGGTGGTGAAGCCGCCGGGCAGTGGAAAAGGGTCAGCCGCGACCAGAGCTCGACCAGCTGGAGTCGGATCGGGTGGTGATGGAGCGGGTCGTGAAATGGCCGAGGAGCAGGTACCAGGGACCCCAAATTCGTCACTTGTGCAGAGAAAACTGTGGTCTACGGCATCGAGGAACCCGTGGGCAACACCAGGGGCGGCTGAACCACGACAAGGAGGTGATCAGGATCTTCGAGGACCAGCAGGACAACCGGAAAGCTATGGGCCTCTTCACCCAGGAGCAGCTGGAGTATTTGAAGCGCTGGGATCGACCTGGCAGTCTGGTGAACTTGGGGGAGATGAGAGATCCTCCGTTGAGGCGGCCGGAATTCCTGCCCCGGGAGCAGCCTCAGCTTCTGGATGTGGGAGCGGAGGACGGTAGATCTCAGAGGCCGAGAGAGGTGGACTCCATGAGGTCGGAGATCAAGCGGCTCACGCAGAAGAACAAGAGGTTGAAGGCAGTTGAAGGCGGGAACGGTTCGGGGGAGACCTACACGACGCCGGACCCGCCCAACGGCAAGGTCGAGGAGGACGAGAAGCGGGAGTCCTCGGAGATGATTCGGGACGATGAGAAGGGCGACCATTTGGCCATCCTGAAGCTTATGGAAGGGCATGCAGCAGATCCAGAAGAAGCTCCTTGCGGGTGGCTCCAAGGGCACCGATGAGGAGTCGGTGGAGGTGGTCAAGGCTGGTACGGTGGAGTTACCGATGCTGGCGGAGCTCAATGCGGAAACCAGCTCAATTGACTTGCAGGACTGGTTGACGTTGATCACTCCGGCGATGTCAGATTTGTCGGAGACGAGCCAGGAATGGTGGGAGCTGGTTCTGCAGGAAGCAAAGCGGTGGTATGGCGACTACATGCAGGAGGCACCGCTTAAGCGCCTCACTATGGTACCAAAGGTGGGGGAATCGCAAAGCTCAAGGTGGAGACGAGTGGAGCGGAAAGCGGTCACCCTTCTGATCAAGGCGGTTCCGGATGCGGTGAAGGACGAGGTCGTGGCTACGAAAAGCCTCAACGCCTTCTCCTTGGTGTGCTGGCTGATGATGATGTACCAGCCTGGCGGTATAGCAGAGCGGGCGGGAATCCTGCGCAACCTGGAGCAGCCGGGAGAGGCAACCAACATCCAGGCCGCGGTCACGGGCATCAGGCGATGGATGAGGTGGAAGAGACGCGCGGAGGAAATTGGAGTTTCGCTCCCCGATTCCTCGGTGTTGAACAGAGGCCTTCACAGGCTGACGAGGAAGGTGCTGGAGGGGAACCGGGATCTGAACTTTAAGACTAACCTGGCGAAGTCGCAGCTGCAGGTGGACACCGTTCCGACCTACGCCACGATTGGGGTGTATTGTGAGCACCTCTTGTCGGAGCTGGAGCAGTTGGTTCACACGGAGAAGAAGTCGGCCCCGGGAGAGATAAAGGCGAAGAAGATCGAGGGCACCTACGCGGAGGATAAGGGGGGCAAGGATGATTTCGTCAAGGAGAAGAAGCCCTGCCGGTTCTTCCTCACAGATCAAGGGTGCAGGAGGGGAGCACAATGTACCTTTGGCCATGAAGCCCGAGACGGACGTTCCAGGTGCTATGTGTGTGTGTGGCGCTACGAGCCACTTTGCGAAGGACTGCTCGAGGAAGGCCACCTCTGAGCAAGCGGTGAAGAAGGACTTCAAGCCGGGCGCTCCAAACGTTGCAAAGGTGGAGACGGAGAACGCCACGTCATCGGCATGCGAAAAGGGAGAAGCGCAGAAAAGCTTGGGCGGGCAAGAGGAAGTCTCGCCGAAAGGAGCAAAAGGAGAGGCAGACGCCTTGCAGAACGTCTTGGAAAGCCGGGAAGATGCTCAGATCTTTGACGGTGGCCTCGACAAGCAAGATCGGCAGGGACGCCAAGTTGGAGGATCTTCAGAAGCAGCTGAATGGGATGAAGATTCGGAAGTTTGGGGAGGTCAAGATCTCGAAGATCGACTTTCGGAACGAGATGGGCCTACTGGATTCGGGGGCAACCCATGCCAGGAGAGGCATGAGAGAAGGTGACGACCCGAAGGACATGGAGACGATAGTGGTGGAGTTGGCCGGAGGCCAGCGAAAGGAGCTCTTGATGACCCAGGGGAAGGTCATCATCCATGAGGAGGCGGGCGTGCAGCCGATAGTGCCCTTGGGACTCTTGGTGGACAAGCTGGACTGTGAGGTCACCTGGACTTCCTGGGGAGCCTGCCAGATGAAGCATCCTACGTTGGGGGAGATCCCGGTGCGGATGAACGCTGGGTGCCCGGAGGTGGATCGGGATCTAGCCTTGTGCTTCATCGACATGTTGGAGCAAGTGGAGGTTGCAGGAGGTGCGAGATTGAGGTCATCTTCGGCAACCTCGAGGGGAGAGATGGGCGTCATGGAGGCGCTGGCGAGAAGAGAGCGGGTGTTCGATGGGGTACCAGCTGAGGTGATGGCCAACGTCGTGAGCGAGCCAGCGAGCGACCTGAAGGGATCCCATTGAATCGGAGGAGGAGAAAAAGAATGAAGCGCGGGTTTGTCCTTCACCTGTATGCGGGCGAGAGTGATGGCTACACGCTGCAAAGGGCCCTGAAGGAGGTTGGAGGCGACACTACAAGGCTGGTGGAGATCGACCTCAAGAGAGGGGACAACCACGACATGCTGAGCGGCCCGCTATACCCTTCTCTCTTGAGGGCAGCCTTGGACGGGAACATCCTTGGAGTGGTGGGTGGCCCCAACTGCAGGACTCGGAGCGTGCTGAGACACTACCCGCTGCCAGCTGGGAGGCCAAGGCCAGTGAGGGGGGTGGAGCCGGAGAATTGGTTTGGCTTTCCTTGGCTGGACGAGGAGGAGAAGAAGCAAGTCTTCGAGGACGATGTGCTGCTCTACCGCATGGTGATGCTGTACTGTGCGGCGGAGGAGGCTCGACGGGCCAGGAAGATGACAACGACGGCCAGATCAAAGGTCGCGTTTTTGCTTGAGCAGCCGGAGGCGCCGGGGTACGTGCCGGAGTGCGGATCATGGTGGAGGACCAGGAATTACACGGCCTTTCGAGATCAACACGGGCTACTGGAGCACAGCTTCAAGCAGGGCGACTACGGCGGGTTGGCGGTGAAGCCGACGCGCATTGCCACGGACTTGGAGGTGGATTTGCCGCCACGAGGATCCTCATCGGCATCTACCAGAGAGACGGCGGCGGTGGCAGACTCGGCGGCTTTGTCAAGGTGGGCCCCGGGATTCATGAGAGAGGTTGCGCGATCTCTGCAACAGGAGGTCTTCGGACGACCAGCTCATGTCAAGAAGCTAAGCTGGTTTGAGCACGTCCGCCACGGACATGTACCATTTCGTCGGGACTGCCGAGTATGTCAGGAGGCGTCAGCAAGGGGGAAGCGACACGCAAAAATTGCTTATCCCGACGCGGCGGTCTTGAGTGGCCCATACCGGGCCGGAAAGGACGTTGGGGATGCGACCCAGAAGTACTTCCTCATCGGTTCATTCACTTGGCCTGCGGAGGAGGACCAGAAGAAGTTCTTCGACGGCAAAGAGAAGGAGGAAGATGGAGAGGACTTGCCAGTCCTGGAGGAGAAGAAAGCAGAGGATGATGATCCAGCGTGCGAGAAAGGTGAGCTGGATGATCTGGAGGGCGACCCGGAATGTGAGAAGGGGGAAATGGATGGAGACGGCCAGGAGGAGGATCCGGAGGACCGGGCCAAAAAGGAGTGTGGGGAGCCAAAGCTTGTCAAGGCTGTCTCCCTGCCCGACAAGAAGGCGAAGACGGTGCTTCAAGGGCTACAGGACATCTACATCCAGTTGAAGAGAGAAGGATACCCGGTCCAGAGATTGCACACCGACCGGGGAAAAGAGTTCCTGAACCACGACCTGAAGAAATGGTGCCTGGTGAGGGAGATCGAGAAGACCACGACGAGTGCAGATTCGCCTCAGGAAAGCGGACGTGCTGAAGCCTGCATCGGCAGTCTGAAGAGCCGTATGAGGAGGCTGTTGAAGGGAGCAAAAATGGATGTGAAGTTTTGGCCGATGGCAGCTCGGTATGCAGTGGTGGCCGAAGAGAAAAGGCAGCGGAACGAGCTGATGCCAGCGGCATTTGGGGGAGGAGGTCTGGGTCCCGAGGAGGTCGTGGAAGAGAACTCAGGATCCATTTGGGCCTACCTACGAGAAGGCGCGCTACTTGGCCGTGGTAAAGGAGGTCACGAGCGGGCATGGAATCCTGAGGGAGGATGGCAAGAGTGAGGTGGTCTCCCGAGTAGTGAGAGGAGTGGTGGAACCAGAAGATCGACTACTACCGGAGGAGGCTGAACCGCATCATCCGCGGAGAAGGATCAGGGGGAAAACCCATGTGGGAGAGGAAAAGGACGGGGAGCTCGGTGACCTCCGCGCGCTTCGGACGGTGATCGAAGAGGAGATGGAAGCCATGGACCAGGACAGTGGTGAAGTCTTGGGAATCACGGCGGTCAAGATCAAGGAAATGAAGCTGGCGGAGGAGGCTCTGGTGGAGGAAGTGATGGGTGAAGAGAAACAAGTTCTCCAGACCCGAATTGCCAGTCACGCGGAGGTGATCAAGAACAAAGAGGAGTGGCTGCCAGCGATTAAAGCCGAGGTGGACTCGCTCTTGGACGGGAAGCAAGCAGTGAGGAGAGTCACGAACGAGGAGGCGCGGGTGCTTCTTGGGAGCCCGGACTACAAGGTGGACATTCTGCCTGGCAAGATGGTTCCTACGGTGAAGGCGCCCAATGGCAAGAAGAAGTGCAGGATCGTTATCTGCGGGAACTACGCGGAGGGAGGAGGCAAGGACTCCGACGAGTCGCTGTACGCTGGGGGATCAGATACGATCTCTATCAGGACGATCACGAAGTACGCGGCTGAGCAAGATTGGGAGGCAATGGTCCTGGATATCAAGACCGCCTTCCTCAATGCTCCGCTACAGGAAAAGGAGACAGAGGGCGAGCCGAAGAAAGTACTGCTGATGAAACCTCCCTCCATCCTCATCTCCCTGGCCTTGTGCAAGAAGGATGAGTACTGGGCGGTGGATAAGGCCCTGTATGGGCTTCGCCAATCGCCGAGGAGGTGGTCAGTCTTTCGGGACCAGAACATGCGAGAAATGAGATGGGAAGAAGGAGGCGGTTGCTACTGGTTGGCTCAGACGGTCTCGGACCCGAATGTCTGGAAGATTATGAGGGGACGAGACTGGGAGAACGAACACGGCGAGCTCATGGGTCTGATGGCGATCTATGTGGACGACATCTTGGCCTACTCGACAGGAGGAATCCTACGAGAGCTGTGCAAGGTGATCCAGCGGAAGTGGGAGACGAGCGTCCCGGAGTTCGTCAGGAAGGGAGAAAAGGTCATGGATATAAGCCGGACAGAACGTGGGTATCACCTTGGGCAATCGTCCTACACGAAAGAGATTCTCAGTCGATATAAGGACGGTGGCTATGGGTCGGGGATCAGATCCCCATCGCCAAGGACATGACGGAGATGCCCGAGGAGCCGAACATCTTGCCGCATGAGGTACAAGCCGCACAGAAGGCCGTGGGAGAAGTGTTGTGGCTGACTACGAAGACAAGGCCCGACCTCATGTTTGCGACGAGCCGGATGTCATCGGCGGTGACGAGAGCGCCCAGGTGGGCATTGGAGATAGCAGCACAGGTCAGGAAGTATCTCCTGAAGACCATAGATATGGGCCTGTGGTTCGACCGGGAGATGAATGCGGGAGCTACAGGAATTGCTGAGCGGAAGATGGAGGTCTACACGGACGCATCATTTGCTCCAGGAGGTGGACTGAGCCATGGATCGGTGGTGGTGCTATGGAACTGGCGTGGAAGAGCTCGAGGCAAAGCAGCCCTACGTTGTCGACCGGAGAGGCGGAGCTCATGGAGTGCCTGGAGGGTATCATCATGGGCGAGAGCGTGGAAGCTCTGATCTCGGAGATTGAGGAGGCGATGGGCTGCACGTACAAGAGGCAGCTGCTATCTGACAGCTCGGCGGCTATAGCCATCACGTCAGAGGCTGGCGGGAGCTGGAGAACAAGGCATCTGCGGGTCAGAGCGTTCAATTTGAGGTAGAGGCTCATGGATGAGAGCTGGTCCATCCACCACGTGATGGGAGAAACAATGCTCGCGGACCTCGGGACCAAGGCCCTCACTGGAAGGCGCATCGATGATTTGCGTCGACTATGGAGGCTAGAGCCTTTGGAGGAAGTCATGGAAGAAACCAACGGGGGTCAGGAGAACACCCAGGAGGCGAGTATAACGGCCATGGTCAAGGTGATGACCCTCGCGAGCATGATTACGAAGGTCCAGGCGGTGAAGGAAAAGATGGAAGTTGAAGGAGAAGAAGAGCCGGCAGACACCTTGAAGGTCCTGATGACGGTTGTGAGCATCATGTCCATCATCCTGTACAAGCTGGTGGAACTGGTCTGTCAAAGGGCAGTCATGCCCCGGATCAGAGCCATGAGATCAGGCGGGGTGCCGGAGCCGCACGAAGATGAGGAAGAGGAAGAGGTTGTGATTGAGGAGACCTCATCGACAATCAGAAGGACAGTGGGCAGAAACGGAGAGGGGACCTCGGGAAGTGCGTCTTCTACCGGAGGTGGGCCTACGTTTAGGAGTATGTCATGGGGCGAAGGAGGAGCTACACCACAACGTGCATCTTCTACCGGAGGTGGAGGGAGCAGGCGCTTGGGAGCCACGCCCAAGCCGAAGTCCAAGCCGATGCCCAAACGAAAGGGGGACGGAAAAGGGCGAGAGGCAAATCAGAGACCGAGACAGCAGTTGGAGCCGGAACCGGAGGCTGAGGAGGTTTTGCCAGGAGATGGAGACCTGCCTATGGTACCGCTGTTGTATAGGACCGACCAGGGAGAAAGGTACCACACCTTCATGGATTGCTACGGGCTGCGACACGCCACGCGGATTCACGAGATGCTTCCGTGCCCAAGGTGCTGCACCCCGGACTTCAGGAGGCTGGTGACTAGCCTTCCGGGACCCATCTTCTACCGGGGGCTGGGTCACTACCATTCGTTGATGTGCTGCGCGGGGGGCGATCCGGTGCGCATCACCCTCTGTGGCTACTGCAGGACGGCGTGAACTGATGGGGGCTTGAGGCCGTTTTTGACATGCAGCGCCGCATAGCAAAGCTGCATGGGAGGAGTGCCAAGAGTTGCATTCAAGTACAGATGAGAGTCAAACCAAACGCTTCGACGCATTGAAGCCCCTCTGAAGCTCAAAAAGCCTGACCTGCACCTTAGCAGTTTAACTTCACGTCCTGTGATCTTGAATGACCACGTTATGCTGATGCTTGTGCCCGATACAACTGGATGAAGATACTGCTCAGTAGCAATGTAGTCAAGGCACAAAAAATAAATTAGCACAGAAACTTTGAAAGCTACTCTCGCAGCGTCCGTCATATCAACGCTGCAACAAGCATGGCACCTATCACCTTTCGTATGAACATGTGTGCGCACGTGTATGTTCACGGTTTATGACCTCGGATTCACTCCCTGACCCAAGCGCACTCCTGATTTAATCCCTCGAACTGCTAGCCACTCACGCAAATTTGGCAAAGCGGCATGTGAAGTTGTGAAGGAACATCGTCTCTGAGGCTCGTCTTGCTCTCAGCTGGCTCACTATGTTGAGCAGCCCGAATCTCAGCTGGAAGATCACCAGGACCCTTCCCAATTGATCTCAGTCGTGTTCACTGATAAGTACGCCTTATCTACTGGGTTTCTGGAGATTACCATCAGCCTGCACGCTTATGAACCGGATTCTCCTTCATGACGATCGTATGGATGATGCTCTGGAGCGAGTCCAGTGCGTGAATTCAATCTCGAACTCGGGCACCTTCATCATCATCATCATCATCATCATCATCATCATCATCATCATCATCATCATCATCATCATCATCATCGAACTCGGGCACCTTTCCTTGCGCAAACAGCCTGGAAAAAATGTGATCTGGCACGGAATTGGCCCCGAAGGCATTGTCTGTAGCACGTCATGTGGGTCGTGCCAAAACCGATGCTTTGCAATCGCCTTTTTTTCTTCCCATGCTGATTGCTCAGCATGGACCCCTTCAATGAATCTGCTCGACGCTTTCAGCTTGGAAGTCTTCGTTGCGTGAACAAAGTGCTCCAAGTTGGTACACTCGGATCCGGCCTCGCCACCCATGGACTGGGAGCTGAAGGCCTGGCGCCCGTGCGGACTAAATGCACCCGGTCAAGGCTGTTTGCAATTGAAACGCGGACATACCCTGACTGCAAAAAAAAGGAGCCCTTCCGGGCTCTCATGAGAGGCGCGTGAGAAGGGGCAAACTGATCCCTGGCTGTTTTCGCACCGGAGAGCTGGACTTTCCACATACCAGCCCCTTCTGTGTTGAGCTTCCACCGCCATCGCTGGGAAACCGGCTATATGGCCAAAACCTCAAATCCTATTCCATAGACATGACAGGCAAATGCAGCAATACAGTCTAGCTGCAGAAAATTCAGCGTCCCAGGCAAGGAGAGATATCCTTCTAATGAAACTGCGTCAACATGGCCACATCTGCGATCATCTGTGCCGTTGCTTCTGGCAGACACAGCAGTGCTGAGTGCTGCCTTTTCTCACGGTCCATGAGGCTTCTTGCCTCCCACAGTCACTGCGGCCTTGCCACACAACTGCGACTATCCCCTTCACTGCCTCCGGCGCTGGCAAAGGTGTCGAGGTCGAAGAGTTCAGAAGCTGTCGCCTCACACAATGAAGCTAAAGCCATTTCTGCGATCTAGTCAACTCTGAAGCATGCATCGGGAAGTAGATCACAGCAGTGAACGGCAGCGACGTGTGCCAAGGACATTGACTCTAACAACCAAAAAAGTCCATAGCACTTCTCAGACTGGCCTGGTTCAATGCTCAGCACTTAACATCCGACTATATAGCTGTCACAGCGTGTTTTCTTCCCGTGTGTTGCTTTCTGAATGTATTGAACTTTGCCTCAACGGCGGTGCTCAGACGTGGAGGAGGTTGCATGGCTAAGCCGTCATATTGGGACGGCTCCAACAAAGACAAACGAAAAGCAGGAACCCACCCAAAAAAACAGCATGCACAGCTGATCTTCGGCTTGACACATCCCATCCCTTCTGGGCAGCCGAGCCAGGGGCTCGATTTCAATTCCTCCCGCTTCGCCAAGCCCCGCAGCAGCTGCGCCAAGAAGTGCAGACCTCGCTGCAGCGACACAAATCCTCTCAAGCCCGCCCGCGCAGTGCAACGTGGGGTGAACAAAGCCGATTCTTGAAGCACTGTAACTTAGGTGGCGCGGTGGCGCAACATCCTTCTGCAGCGGATCTGGCAGTAAAAGATCTGCCACAATCAGTGGAAGCCAAGCCTTGACCATTGAGAATAGGCTGCTCGCCAGACTTGTCAATTTTGACCATGTAGGGGTTCACAACGGCCAACAAAGGGACTCAGAGCAGAATGGCTTCCTTTTCCAAGCTGAACTGCGGCAGCCACAAGGAGCAGAGGTGTTCCTGTGGCTCTAACACTTTGCTAAAGGACCTGCGCCTGCCCAATGCTCACCCACACCGAATAAAGGAAGGTGTATCTTGCACACCACAACTTGGAAAGGCCAAAACCCGCCAACGCATAGAGACTCAGGAAATGACGGCTGAAAAAAAGGAAAAAGTGTCTGTCATAATTGTATCAGTCCCTCACTAATCCATTCTGGATTTATACAAAGAGAGGACAAAGGTAAGACTTTAAGGGAAGGAAAAGATGATCATAAGATCAGGAATCATTACGTGATAGCGGTGAGACTCTAGACTCTAGACTTCACTCGCCTGCAAATGCAGTTCTCATGAAGACTTGACATGGAAAGCAATAGAACATAGAATTGCTTTCCTCATGTAAAAACCTTCTGCAGTGGCTGACAACCACAAGCGCGATACTTTCAAGCTCACCCCTTTCACATGTGAATCTTACCTCATCCAGCTAGCCTTGAGACGCTTTGCCCTGACAACAACCATTCCTTGGCAAGGGTTTGCCCAATGCAGTTTGAGAGCCGATCATTTCACTATGTTCAAAGCATGTAGATGAAGACTGAATCGAAACTCATTGTTGGCTTAGCGCACAAAATTTGTCTACCACGCTCAAGTATTCACCTTGAAACAATGCTGGTGATTGCGGCAATCATTCCACTCGTGCAAAATACAGTGTGTGATATGATTTGCCTTTTTCCATCAAGCCGCATGGGAATTGATGGCAGAATCACGAGACAACATGGTGATGAAACAAACTGGAGTATATCATGTATTGAACAAATGCAGGCGAAGGGTTTTATGCAATCATGGCATTCTGCTGGGAATGGCTGACTCATTGGTGGAAAGCAGAGTTGCTTCTCAGCTACATAGCACCTGCTCAGCCCGGCAAATGGTGGCGTGCCCTTTCTGGGTGAGGCCAAGCGGCTGTGCCGTGAGAAGAGCAAATTCACGTGGCTGAAGGACGCGTAGACGTCACCTGACACTGGCACCCTGCCGAAGACACCAAATCGAAAAGTGAGAAGCAAGCATTACCTTTTGCATGACACGACGTGACACATACATACGTGCTGTTGTTGAATCGCGAACAGGCCTTTCCACGTATGTTGAGTGTAAAGTTCAGAAAGCCGCTAAGCTCGCCGATCAATACTCAAATAACGCACCAAACCAGCCATGTGAATAACCGTGAAAAAGTGCCCAACATGGCCAGTAACTTGCATCGTGCCTTGCTCTTGCCCTTGTTCCGACTGGCTTATGTCGTCCATCAGCTTTGGCCCCTTGAGCCTCAAGTTGCCTCTTAGCACCCGACGAGCCCCTGGCAAGGGCTGGAATACGCCCGTCCTGCATGAAGCAACTCGAGCAACCATAGCAACCCAAAAAGCAGGCAAAAGTGCTGACCGGCATTTGCGCATCAAACCCCTTCCAACTCCACAATCAACACAATATGTTTCTTGTCAAATCAAGTTCCAGGCTGGAAGTTGTCTCCATGAGTATGTGGCTGCTGAACTGCGCTAGCAACACTTCAGCGTGTTGAGTGTGTGCTGATTGTTCTTGCCAGAAACCTCAGGTGCTCATGGTTTACGTCTCTATTCATGAATCACATGGTCAGCACACTCTTGTCACTAGGCACAGTTCCATGATCGCAAACAAGTGAATGCCCGGCAAGGGAGCAAATTCAACATGCAAGACCGCGGCTGGATGCTGCCAGCGTTCTTCAAAACTTCCGGGGTTGTTGCTGTCCTGCGACGGACAGCCCAAACATCAAACAAGTAGGATACCTGAGCAACCATTGACTGGATGGGATGGTTTGCTTCCAGACTAGGTCAACGAGCTCCCAGGCTACTTTGTTTCAATAAACTGGTACTCCAAATGCACGAAGGTGCCTGTGCATGAATTTGGCAAGGGACCCTTGCAAGCCACGATGCCTTGTTTGCCTTGGAGCGCGAGTATTTTCAAGCTTGAGTGCTGTAAGGGGAGCAAATTCTTTCTCACTGTGCCATTGCAAAGCTTGACACGGAGAGCTCTGACACAGTTTGTTTTTCTTCTCACAGTGCGATCAAATCCCTAGTTGCTGGTTGCTGGGAACCGCAGAACTATTGAATTTCCACCCCAACCACACCGCGGCTTTCATCATCAGTGCCAAAGGTCGTATTCCCACCACAATCCAAATTTCGGCAGCGGGAATCAGCCCTCAAATGTGTGGCCTGGGCCTCGCCGTGTGCATGGGCACCAGCGGATCCGTGGGGCCGCCTGGACGCAGTCTGACGTGGAAAGCTGAATCTAGGGATATTCCACATGACACTTATCGAAAATGTTTTGGCCGCGATAACTGCACCTCGCGGCAAATCATCGTTGGACCCTCAACAAGCCTTTGTGTGCCATTATGTTCCCACAATAGGGTGGGTTGTCTGGAGCACACCCTGTCGAACCCTCTGTGAACATCTTGAAGCTCCAGCAGTATCATAATCCTCCATCAGCTCAGGGGACAAATACTGGCTTCATTGAATATGCAGTAAGGACCTAGGAGATGACTGGGTGTGCTGTAGGTTATCCGAAAGCGGCGTGCCTCTGCCCAACACGATGTGAACACATCACGAAGCATCGACATGTTACGCACAATATACTGCGCCTTGCAACGGGTTCCACATCATGCTTTGTGGATGAGCATTTACTAAGCCGTGTGACAAAAATGCAGGTCCCGCAGCAACCGTGAAATACCTTCAGACGTCCGCTTTCACTGGCACTTCTGCTGCAATCGACAAAAACACGTGTGTTCTCCCTTCAGTATCCTTCAGATACATCGTCAGGTGTCACGGGTACCCTTGAAATATATGCTCAGCAGCTTGGGGCCTTCAAGCCCTCACATCTCAAGGCTCAACGGACCAGTGAGGTTATGGAGGTTGGTCCTGGCCTGACACTGACACCAAGCGCAAGTCCCAGCTAAAGCTCACCGGCTGGACAGCCTGGCTGGCTGCAATTCTACGGGTTTGGTTCCAGGAGAAAAGCTGGGAGATCAGCAGCTTTCAGGCAGTCTCTTGCAACCCTATCATTTGATGAAACATCTGAAAATGGAGCCAACATCAGTAAGTGAAGGTGCGAATCCGTCATCTGGATTTCCGACATGACAGAGATGGTTTCAGAGTGTACAAGCCAAAGCCCACGTTCAATGGGATCAGGTGCATTGGGTTTTAGGCAGTAGGACAAAAAACACAAACAAAACCACTGAAGCCACATGCCTTCCAGTGAAGAGCTTCTGCTTCATTGCGTTCTGATATCTCAAACAGCTTCTGTCATATAACCTTTCCCAGACCGGTTAGGCTTGCCGGTATATTGACGGCAGCTCTTCCATGGATCAGAATCAAATATCCAAGCTTGCAGGCGTTGTGGGCTGCGCTGGTGCTCAGTACGGTGAGACTGGGACGAAAGGCTATTCAAGGTGCTTGTCCCCGAAAGGCAAAGCACAACCGTAGCGTGTGCGCGAACCCAGCGGCCGTCATGTTGGTCGAACTCTCACTTGGCATAGACCAACAGCAATCTGCTTTTGCAGATTGTAGATTGTGGCCTGAGCCCATGCCACAAATGCAATAGCAGGTCCCTTGCTGGCGTCTATTCTCATTTAATGGAGGAGTATACTTTGCACCGCCCCACTCCGGCATCAGCTGGCAGCTTGCCCCGTAGCCCTACCCTCACAATACAGGGTTTAAGGCAAGTTCGAAGTCCAAGTGTGCCTGAAATCGGGGTTCCAGCAGCAAAGGGTGCGGCTGCAAGGGCGCCGACACCAGCAAGACCGCATCCGGCCTGCGTCACCAGAACCAAGCAACGCCCAATGGAAGACTGGAAGAGGGTATTCCCCAAAGAAGCCCTTACACTTTCCAATCCCAAAAGAAACAGAAATGAAAGTGGAGTTGCCAGGACTCTTCATGTATCTAAACAAATTGATGGCTGTCCTCGAGTGAAATGCGTTGCTTGTGAGGCTTCAACAGTTGGATATCCGCAGCCCCTGCCTTGCTGCTCCCATTGCTATGGCCCGCAAGGCCACGATCCCACCCATGGAGTGGCCCAGCAGCACCAGCGGACCTGGAGGTCTGCTTTCTATGTGTGTTTTCCGTCTGGAGTTTGGACGGACATTGGCCTGGAGCCATGCGAGTTTGAGTTCCAAATGACACGGCCATTTTGCTGTCAGCACATGCCCCGCGACACTGAAAACCTGGATAGGTATGCCTTCTCCATTTGAGACTCGATGACTTGGGTCAGCATGAGCAAAACTGACCTTGTCTGCACTCCCAGCAATACACATGGTGCAACCAAGAACTAGTCCAACAACCAAACAGGGTTGTTGAACAATTGCCCAGGAGAGTTGGAACTCATTCTCAAGGAGGGTTCTCCAAATGCCCTTCAGCTTGTTGAGCTGCAAGAGCATAGGACCCCTCTTGCTGATTTCCTGACCACGAGAGGTCAAAAGGAAGCACCAACAAGCTCTTGATGCCCTAGTCCAATCTTAAACACTTTGCTGAACAAACAATAGCATCGTTTTGTGGGTGACATCCGGCTCAACAACGTTCCTGCCTGAGTGCAACTTCCGGATGCGTTCAATAGCCTGCAAGTTGGCGTCGTACTTGCAGAAAATTCCCAAGCACAAAAGAGGTATCCATTTCGAGCCCCAATTCGTGAAGACACGTGGCCACCATAGGTACACGGTTCCTCCAATTTGTGTTGCTTGAACTCCGTGCCGCTTGGTAGGCTTCCATCCCCTGATGGTGGACCCACTGGCTGCGTGCCTGGCTCTGGCGCTCTGCCGGAAGGCGCTCGGCACGCCAAAGTGTCATGGAACCCGTCCATCCCAAGGCCCCGTGGCGCTCAAACAAAACACAATGCTTCCTTCACTGGGTGTGTCCAAGGCTAAACTAAAGGATGCGGTGTTGTCCCTGCATTCCACACACAAAACAATCACACTTGTTCACTATGCGCCAACCGCCCACGAACGTCCCATCGTTTGTAAGGCATAGCAAGTCTTGCTCAAAGTTGCAAAGATCCTAAATCCCTGCAACACAAAAGAACGGTCCCCATCCATGTGACAGGCCAACCCGTGCCTTCGCTGTGAAGAGAGCCTGGGAGGTCACGACCGAGGAGTGCAAGGCCGAAGCAGACCTCGGTCAAAGGCAACTCGGGGCTCGTGCACCTTATGTGCTGCAGCCTGTGTGTGTGTGAGAATATGCAAGGCTTTGTCGCCAGAACCTAGTGCTTCTAGATTGAACCCAAAGCATCGAACGTTGACATACCAACACCACTAAAGCCGGTGAAACCGGGGGAAGTTTCAAAACAAAACGAAAGTTTGGAGCACGCCTTCTTCCTTTTCTCTCTCTCTCTCTCTCTCTTTCTCTCTCTCTCTCTCTCTCTATCCCTCTCTCTCTCTCTCTATCCCTCTCTCTCTCTCTCTATCCCTCTCTCTCTCTCTCTCTCTATTTTCTCTCTTTGTCTTTCCCTTTCTCTTCCCCTGTCCCTTTCGCTTTCTCCTTCTCCTTCTCCTTCTCTCAGGGTTCACCTTTTGAGGGTTGCTCGGGCAAAAACGTTACCAACAAAAAGAAGAACAAGTTGGTTGAGGCACATAGGGTTGCGCAAGCAAAGTGAAAATCGCAGAAAAAACCTAAGCTTTCCAGGATGACCCAAAGTGCGCAAAGGGTTCACCTTTTGAAGGTTGCGCAAACTGAAAAACTCCAAAAATAACAACGAGTTGTTTGACCGAAGGCCGGCATAGGGTTGCTTGGGCCAATGAAATGAAAGTTGTAACAAACCACGAGTGGATTGCGATCAACCCACCTAAAGTCGGCACAGGGGTCACCCTTTGATGGTTGCGCGAGCAAACAAGCTCAGGTGATATCCCCAACAGCATGCGGTGCTCTTTTTAGTGCTCGCACCACCCCGCAGCCCTCGTGAACCCTGGTGGAACCCTGGTGGAACCCTGGTGGAACCCTGGTGGAACCCTGGTGGAACCCTCGTGGAACCTTACCTCAGGGCTACCCCAGAGCCTATCTGGGCTGAGACGCCAAAGCTTTCAGCAGTTGGGCAAAAAACTTTATTCCAAATTCAAAAACAATAAGATGTATCTATGCCAACATTCACAAAGCTGTCCTTGGGGACTAGTCCATCATGCTCCGAGATATATGATGCAGAGTCGAGCCGCGGCCTTTATTGTTGGACTTGCCAAAGCTTTAAACTCACTAGACAGAGTCATGTCAAACCGATTTCGGAGAAAACGGTCAACTTAGAGTCTCACGGCAACTCATCTGGTTCGTCCCGCTCGCCCATGAGTCCAAAGCACGCATGGAAGTCTGCAGCGTAGTAGTGGAGGGCATCCTTCTTGGCCAGGTAAGCGCAAAGGTTAATGCCTTGCTTCCAGGACCTGCAGCAATGAAAGCAAATCTTCGGCGAAAGCGTCTTATGCTCTCCTCGTGGCTCCCTTTCGGAAGGAACATGTGTGCCCAGTAGGCGCCCTACTGCCATGTGTCAAGACGATTGCCGGCGATATACGCAGCCTGCGGTGTGGATTCAAAATGACCTGCTTATGTCTGCTGGCCTCGTGGTCTTATACAGACTGGAAAGCGACAGTAAATTGCCCTCGTTGATTCGAACAATCAGACCTGTCTCGCTGCGACCTGCTTCAGGTTTCAAACAGACCAGCTTTCACCGGCCCACTAAGTCCATCCACCCCGAGAGCGGAACCTCCCAGGCGCCCGCACCCCCCATGGCCCGGCACAAACAGCACGGCTGGCGCAGGTGGCGCAGGCCGCTTGGAAGAGGAGAGCATGTAGAGGCCGAAGTGGCTGGGCTCCTTGCGACATGTGCATAGGTCACTCGCTGTTTGGGTGATCATCAAAAGGTCCAAGGACGGGAGCACCACAAGGAGGTATTTGGCTAGCGGCATCGTCACGGTGCATCGAGAGGTTCACCCAGGGCTAGCATAAGGTCTACATCTGTCGCACACCCTTTACAAAACGGCACAGGTTCCACTTCGCGAGCGACCCGAAACCTTACACAAACAGACATGCGCGCAAGTGCGCAGCTCCTCCAAAGGAACCTGGATGCGTTCCAAATTGGCGCTGTTCCGCATGAGGTTCCAGGTGCGGTCGTCATGGTAGGGCCCGAATGCCAGAAAGCTACCTAACACCAGCAAGAAAGCAAGTGTGCGGCCCCAGTAAGCAATAACCAACGGACAAATATGCTATCTTCATATGGTGTATACTTGGAGCGTCAAAAGGCACAAGATCAAAGGCGCATCACAAAAAATGATATGTACAACCAAATTGCTACGTGACACCTCAACATCGTGAGTCCTTGCAGTGGCCAGACCATGGGTTTGGCGGTTGGGAGCAAGAGATTTCCTTTATACTAGTATGCCAGCAAGTGAAGCCATGTGCGATTCCCTAACTGAGCAAGAAACAAAAAAAAAGTGATCAAGCTGCCAAGGATCTTTAAAGAAAAGCCACAAACAAAACGGAACAACAAATATCATAACGATCAAAAGAACAGTTTTGGCCCACGTTGAGCTGTCAGGAATCTGTGCATGCTCGTGACATCCCTCCACTCATAAACTGATGATTCTCCGATAAGCCAGGGTCATAGTGAAGTCATGGGAAAGTGACTTCCTAGGCACCGCAAGGTGCGACCATTTACGTTTTCCCAAGCTTCAACTTAAGCAGCTCGCAGATCAAGGCCCCACGAGCCCTGTGACTGAAATGCTGCCTTTGGCTAGAGGGTGGAAGCAAGCTGGAGCTTTGGCTGGAACCCAGTTTGCACCGCAATATACAAACTTGACTTAGAAGCCTTGGCAGGACACATTGGGTGCATGTAACTGCAATTCAGAAGATACCCCGCCATTGATCGCTGATCAATAAATCGAACTGCGCGTCCGATGATTCAGTGCAAAAACGAGCTCCTGATTTGTCTAGCAGCGCCACGTTGTTGACCAAAAGCTGCCGAAATTACAGTCCAAGCGCATGCAGGGTACGCCACGGGCAATGATCAATGAATTCAATTCAGAACCAGTAGCAAATCCCATCTGCCCGCGCCTAAGCCTGTTAGCAGCAGGCTGATGCTCTCCAGCAACATGGCACTATGTCATGGGCGCCGAGATGCACCGAGGGACTCCCAAGCAGCCCCGGCTTTGCTCGCCTTCGCTTCGACCCTGGTGTTACCTCCAGCGGCAGTCAAGCATTTTAAGGGTGCGGCATGAGTCAAGCCAGTCGACTTTTATGTCAATTGTCGGCAGGCGTTTAGCCAGCTCTAGAACACGGATAGAGTTTATATGTTGAAGTAAAAAGTATGGCTGGGCAGGTGCAATAGAGTGGGAACTGAATCTGCACAATGCTGATCTTGCTGATTCTCTCTCTTTCTCTCTCTCTCCCTCTCTCTACTGCCTTGCAGCGTTGCCTGGTTGGCGAAGGCTTTCAATCTCCACTTGGCTGAATAAGAACAATGCCATGCCACAAGAACCGGAGCTGGTGCTTGAACCAAACCTTTGTCAATTGTACACACGTAGTTGTGTTAATTAACTTCCGCAACTAGTATCTCGGGAATTCATAAGTCCTCTGCAGCAATGCCTGAAAGTTGTGCTGCATCATGTGGAGAGCTTCACAGAACCTTAAAGCGGAACTAAATGTCACGTAGGGCCGCAAGAAAGGCAATCTTTGAAAACTGCACGTGTGCTTGTTGCCCGCATGTCTGTTTGTTCAGCTGGCTGAGAGCACAACCTCTGTTCATCAGCTTGGAGCAGGCCGGCCAGGGAGCGTGGTTTCAATCGCTGTGCCGCAAGGAAGGGGAATAGGAGCAAAAGCAAATTTGAATTGGAATGCAAAAGCTCCTCATGATCTCGTCGGTCCTAAATTGGAAAGCCGTTGGCTGACAACTCATCCAGCTAGTCAAACATTTTGTACACCTCCAGTACCCTCGGTATTGGATTGTGGGTGAAGAAGGATCTAAGCGAAAAGAAGCAAGCCAGGCGAAAGCTACAATGGATCGGATGGGGTCGCTGCATGTGGTTGTACAGTGGCATGTCATTATGCACCTCAGGCAGCTGAAACGTGCCAAAAGGATGACATCTTACTCTGCCTGCTCCCAACATAGATGCCAAAACACCCCATCAGCTGAGACTCTCGTGCGCAATACATCTCACGCAATAGCAACATCAGAACAATGCGCTATTCAAACTAGATGTTGGGTTTGACATGATTTGGTAGATAATCCTAACAATATTTGAATTCGCGATACCGCGCGCAAGTCCGGAATCATTGAACATGAGATGCTTGTCCCCATCTCATCCTCAATACTGAAGTGCATTTCACTTTTGGATTGCCTAGTCAATGCGCAGCGTGCAACAGTCATGATACCTAACAGGAAACCCCTCTTCCAACTTCAGAGCTTGCTAATTCAGTAAGAGTCAGTCAAACAAAACCACAAGGCAAGGACCTTCTTGCATAACCCGATGTTGTTCCCTTCGTTCAATAAGTTGCTTGAAACTTGGCACAAGGAGCTCGTCCACTATTTTGCTGGGCTGCCTGATGGATATTGAAACCACAGGGACTGGCTGTTCTTCGCTGGTTTGAGGGATGCTGAATGAGTGAACCTGCTTGTTCACTAGGGGACCTGAATCTTGATGTGCTCCAACGACCTGAAAAGCAATTCTGCGGCTCGACCTTGTCACACCGACAGGCCCGCGCGCCTCCTGCCAGCCTTGGCTTCACTGCGAGAACCCTTCTCCCATTGATCTTTCTGCTTGACTCTGCCCCGGCGGATCTTTTGTTTCCTGCTGTACACTGCGGTAGTGCAGCCGGAGAGGAGCGGCTAGGGGCCATGGTGGGGCTCGCGCATATTGACTGTCACCAACAGTTCTGACACTACGCACCGAGGATGACGAGGAATTATGAAAAACCTGTCACCTTTTGTGAGGGTTCATGCGGCTTTTAAATTTCCCCGAAACCGCGGAAGCAATTTGATGGTTCAAATCGACCTGAGCATTTCCAGAACCCGCCACGAGGGTGTCTGAATAATCTGACATACTAAAGCCCCGGCTTGTGTGGGGCTTCTCTTTCAAGTCGGAACTTCATTGTCGGGACGCTGGTCGAGGCCAAACATGCGCCCATCCCAAAATTACAACTGCATCGGGCGTGAGATTGCATTCTACCAACAATCCGCCTGGCCCTCCATATACGCCTAATTCGTCCTAATTCGTATCATTTTGCTTGGCCCCAAATGTAATTGTGTATGCTCAGCCAATTCTTGTGTGCAAGCGTCGTTGTTGCCTGGCTAAGTCTACAAACCAGGCCCCCGTCTCATCTGGATATGATCCTCTGTAACATCCCATTCACCTGCGAGGTCAACACCCTCAATTGTTGACCCAGACAGACCTAATCAGTATGTGCATACATGTATAGATACATCATATATCATACATCATATAGATATATATATATATACGTACGTACGTACGTACGTACGTATGTATGTGTGGATGAATGTATGTATGTATGTATGTATGTATGTATGTATGTATGTATGTATGTATGTATGTATGTATGTATGTATGTATGTATGTATGTATGTATGTATGTGTATGTGTATGTATGTATGTATGTATGTATGTATGTATGTATGTATGTATGTATGTATGTATGTATGTATGTATGTATGTATGTATGTATGTATGTATGTATGTATGTATGTATGTATGTATGTATGTATGTATGTATGTATGTATGTATGTATGTATGTATGTATGTATGTATGTATGTATGTATGTATGTATGTATGTATGTATGTATGTATGTATGTATGTATGTATGTATGTATCTATGTATGTATGTATGTATGTATGTATGTATGTATATATCTATGTATCTATGTATGTATCTATGTATGTATCTATGTATGTATCTACGCATGCATCTATGTCTGTATATGTACATAAATGTATGTATATGTGTGTATGTATGTATATGTATGTGTCTATGTATGTATCTATGTATGTACCTATGTATGTATCCATGTATGTATATGTGTATCTATGTATGTATCTATGTATAAATATATATGTATGTACGTATGTATGTATGTATGTGTGTATGTACGTACGTACGTATGTATGTATGTGTGTATGTGTGTGTGTGTCTGCATCTATGTATGTATGTATGTACGTACGTGCGTACGTACGGTATGTATGTAGGTAGGTAGGTATGTATATGTAAGTGGAATGTATATATATATATATATATGTATCTTCATGTGTGTATGTATGTATCATTCTGTCCTGGAAAGGGTTGTCGCTGCCAAGTCGGACCACAAAATACTTTGTCTAAAACCTTGACAAATTCCTATGTTGCTTCCGGCTCAACCTCTTGCCTCCTTTGCAAAGTGATTCTTGGCGTTTCTGAAACGCTCCTGCTTTTGCCGGGAATGCTATTAAGGCTGTCTGACCCCTTGCTTGACCAAGCTCAAGGCTCGTGCTTGCGGATCCACGAATCTTCCCCAGCCCAACACTGGATCCCTCTCCGGGGGCCGCACCCAGCACCCTGGCCACCTGGCAAGCCAGGTCAAAGAATGATGTCCTTCTTTGGCGTGGCCCAGGGTTCCAAGCACTCAATATACCCCTTGCTGTTTGGATCGGAAGCCTGGCTGCAACCCGATCTCAAAGAGTTTCAAGCTAAATACCCATGTTTGCTTGCCACAATGTGTGTGTGTGTGTGTTCCACCGGCCAAGTCTTTCGGAAGAGTAACTCGATGAACGAGCATCCTATGGATTAACGACCACCCTTTGGATTTATGACCTCCTGGATGATTTTGGAAGAGATGATGAACCCTGCACTACCTTGGCATGCCCACGCACGAGCGCACATGCAAAGGCATACACCATCACTCACACAGTGTCACATCCTTTGCTTAGCACAGCCCCATGCTCTCCACCCAACTTCCCTCAAAACCAAAAGCGGTCTTTGCATAATAGCAACAATATGCATGGAAAGTTTTGTCCAGTTTGCCTTGTGTGCAGGCATCGCCCAAATGTTGCGAAGGATGTTTGTAAAGCTGACCGTATGATCAAGCATCATCATGTCAAATCCATATCATACTCAGACAGGCAAATACATGAATAATTGTACGTGCCTCGGTGACAACCTCTCCAAATACCAGGTTGCTTGGATGTGTTTTCCTCTCCTAGCGATCGTACTGGATATGCTGACAATGGTCATCAAAATGTCCTGCAAAGCTCCATGCTTTTGCCTGTCAACCATTGAGAAGCGAATGCATGTTGACTCTGACACACCCAATGCGCAGCATTCCAACCTTGTGGCTCATAGGCCTGCGCGTACCTTGGCGTGGAATCAAGCAGTCCCCAAAGTCAAGCGAAATGATGATTCAAGGGATGAGGTCTGCAAAAAGGAAAATATCAGGCCCTACATATCTTGGCTGTCTGAACAATTCTCCGAGAGGAGTGCCGAGCGCTCGTTGCAGAATCAGCAACCACCAACTTGCACAATTGAAGTCAAAGATTGGGAGCATTGCATCATGCTGAAATCAAGTTTGGTCACAAATTAGCACATCTACGTCGGAATCATGCAGTACAACTGTGTGAAACCATCTAGAACCGCACGAACACGGCATGCAGCTCCTTTTCCTGTGTTTTTTTTCTGGAGCTTGGAGCCTTGTGCTGAACCTGACTTTGCGGAAAGGTACGGCCTGGATGTGCAGTACTGACCCCGAATGGCAAGGAATCCAGACGTCAGCTGGTACTTGGTCAAACGCAAAAGAAGAATGCAAGCACCTCTTGTGAAACACGGCAAAGTACACAAGAAGTTTGTTAATTCTGGCCAGCCCAATCAAACAACTCTGGGTCCTTGCAGGTCTTGCCTTTCCATGCTATTCCACAAACTTGAGGGGGACTGTTGCGTTGCCAGCGTAGGTCCCACAACACAAGTCGGTAGGCCCACAAAATACTCCGGCTTAGCTGTTGCAGCGCACGCTCAGAAATGAACAAAAGCAAGATGTGCCAAGAGCAAGACTACGCAATATGTCTTTACCTTACCACTGTCCACGTCAGCGTATCAATTGCCGGGCCGCTCAGCACCTGCATACCCGCATGCGTCGTAGCCGTAGCCACTCTCGTGGCCACCGCCAACGCCGCAGCCACCGTAGCCACCGTGGCCACTATCGAAGCCCGCGCCATCAATGCCCACGCCATCGAAGCCCACATTGAAGGCCCCGTGGCTCTCCTCCACGAGTCGGCACAGGTTCAAACCCAGAGGACAGCTAACGGACGCAAGGCCAAGCCAAACACGCACAAGCCACAGTGGCACTAGATGAGGGGCTTGCCCTCGTGCTCGTATGAAGCAAAATGAATCAGAATGATCGCTTGGGGCACTGATGCCTCCGAAAAGTGTTTGCTCGGCGTTTGTTCCATGAATGTCACATGCGCAAGTCCCCACTGCGCTTAGTCCAGGGCAGCCATTAGGTCCTGGCTTAGCAGGATTTAGTCTGCCTTCTTCCATTGGTCAACAGAGTCAGCTCTCTCCTGGGGTGACAGATCCCAGGAGTCCGGTGATGCAGGAGAGCCTCCGGCAGACACGCAATCAGCTGCAGCCGCTCTTGCGCAAAGATCTAACTGAAATCGTCAAACTGCCTTTTCCTGTTGCTTTCAACGGGTGGCATGCTTGGTAACAAACAAACCCAGCATACATACACATATGTATATATATACATCTAATCTATGCACATGTATATGCTCGTGCCCCCTCATGAACTACACTGTCACCATGTTTCCATGTGTATGCATATCCATGTGCATCAGCGAAACAAAGAAACAGGGGCTGATGCAGAGCAGGGATGAGGGATGTTGTTTGGACCTCAGAAAGCCTTGCTCAATGGTTCATATATCTATGTATATATATATATGATATATTGTATGAGCATATAACACGAGCATGTCCTGCTTTTGCAGGCTAGGCCCCGTTTCCAAAAGTGAACCCTGGTGACAGTCAGGACTTTGTCATACAAGTTGGATTGATACCGGTGATTGAGCAACCGTCTGTCTACTCTTCTCGTGGCCTACGGTTTAAATGGGCACCCGCTTGATGGATGGTCGCGATCCTTCCAGAGAGATGAAACACCCTTGAATCGAGAAGCAGCGCGTTGTGATGGCTATCATTGTGACGTACAAGTATACAGAATAAATGTGTATATGTATATATATATGCACATAGCGTCGTACATAGGAAAGCTATGCTACACATCATATATACATATACATATTTGTATACATATGTGTATAGAACAATTGTGCAATGTACAACCTAAAGGCACTTGTTGCACAGGATCCATTCCAGCAGGGTGACAATAAGCACGAACGGCTGTGTCAATAGTCAGGAAACATGCACCCAGCAGTGTAGAAGCATGCAACTTGTTCAAAGGTGAATTGAAAACACACTCTTCTAGGGACGGACAGTCCCGGGCTCTTCTGTGTAGTGGGATGTCTTCACAACAGACTCCGCACCCAAAACTGTCAACAGCCCGTCCACCTTTACCCATACTTTGCTGTACTATCCTACCCTAACATGGTACCTTCAACAGCACTGGCTAACACCCCCCTAATGCATGACAGGATTTGCCACAGTCCCATTTTCCAAAAATCATGCCAACTATGTGAGCCTTGGTCAAGGCTGCTTGTGTGGGGCATGGACATGGTTCCCCTTCCCAAGTTCCTTACCATGGTTGTCTAGCGTCTAGATTCCCTATTGAGGTGCATGACCATCCCTACAAGCAACGAGTAAAAGGGAGTTTTTGACCACTATATGCTGTTCTGCAGGGATGGGTTGGCAACAACAACCCTGCGTGATCAGCATTCAACCCTGCAGCCATCCATTCACGTGTCTGGGGAAATGCGTCTCCAAGTCTGTGTCACAGACCCATGTTGCATCCCTGCCCGGAGGCCCTGAGCGCCAGGCTGCCTTCGGCCTTGAATCGCCAGTTGCTTGGCATGAACCAAGGCGGCAACTTATCTTTCAACCGCCTACTTGGTTCGGGTGTGAATTTCCAGGCAGGCAGAGGAGCCCCTTGCACAGTCATGCAGACTCCGAGGCAAAACACATTCGCTGCAGTTGACCAAGGCACATTCGCTTTGGAGCGCTTCTTCTCCTGAAAAAAACACGCAGTGGAGCCCTACGAAGCATGCTGTTCAATTCCCAACGCAGTTGTTCAATTGAGTCAACGGCGTTTCAGTGCTTTGAACCTCCAGAGGACCAAGATTCGCGGCAAATTTTGGTCCCCCCAATGTGCCAATCTAAAATCGGGTTTTTAAGCGCCCAGGAGATCAAGAACCAAGAACCAGGATTGTTCAGCCTTGCAAATCATAGAACGCAAGTGATTCACTTCCGCACCAATTCCGGCCCACCAAATGTTCAGAGATTCAGGGCCCGAATGTAATGACAAACCTGTGGCGCCCGAACTGAATGTAGGGACCAACGTCCCAAAACGTCCGGCCTGGGTGACTTGGGGCCCGAATGTCCAGGGAAGGAGTCAGGGAATCGCCAAACTACCTATTGCCAAGAAGACCATCAGAACTCTTCCACCCTCCGGAATTACTGAGCTACCACTGGCTAACTGCCCGATCTGGAACCCAACCAAACGCAGCAGCCGTGAGCCTGTCTCACACTTTGTCCTAGATGGGACACCTCTTGATGAACACATGCAAACAAGGATAAAATTCTGTGACCCCGTGTCCCACCTGCTTTGTTGCTCGTTTTTTGGTCAGGAGCCACCGGTGCCAGCAAGACGCAACCGGTCCCACTTTTCCAACTGAAATCCCCTGCCACAATGGTCTGCAAAACTTGGGAACATCCCTCTGCACTCGCAGTCTCCTTCTTTGGCGCTGTGGCCCACTGCTCCAACTCTGCGAAGGAGCCATCCATCTCCCCTGGTCTGACAATTCCCAGCATGCTGGAAGACATTCCACAATCTCAAATGTCATCATTTGATTTCCAGATTGTTTGTCTTTCCCCAGCAAACCTTGGCTCTGCCTCCTTTGAAACGGGCTCATTGCATCCCCCCGCCCCTTCCAACATGGTTTCAACCCACCTGCTCAATTCTATCTGGCCATTGAACTACCCATGCACACTCCTAGTTGCTCCTACTTGAACATGTAGAAAGCCAACAACCCTTGGGCTAACGGTCACTGTCTTTGCGAAGGCCAGTTTGGTTGGCAAACTGGGTGAAGCACAACAACAAGTGACGAGTGACAAACTGCCTGCCTCGAGCCTCAGCTTTGGAGTGCTTCTCCTTTCTCTTTGGCGACTTCCCCTTTGCCTCCTTCGCCTCCTCATATACGAGGAGCCAAGCGTGGACAAGCAGACATCTTGGGCTAGGATGGTCCAAAACACCCACAAACGGGTTTCGCCATTGATTTCAAGAGCAGCCAAGGGCGCACGATGCTGAGCTAGTGCTGTTGCACTGGGGCGAGGATTGACATGGGGCCGTCAGATCAAACGCATCTCCCTCGCTCCGATCAAATGCACCGCTCAGCAACTCTCCGCTCCTTCGGCTCCTTCGGCTCCTTCGGCTCCTTCGGCTCCTTGGACTTTTTCTCCTCAGCACACCGCGGCTCGGGCGGGGCATTGCTACCCATAGTTGACCACCCTGGTAAAGACAGATGCCTTGGAGACGTGGGGCCTTTCCACGTCTGTCTCTGGAAACAAAAGACGGAGTTATTGGCAAGAGAACTAAACTGTCCCAACCAACAGACTAAAATGAGCATGATTTCTCAAGAAGGAAGAAGCTCATCAAATACATACCAGTTCTGGTTGCTGATCATCCCCAGCATCCTTTGCTCCCAGCACACCATGTAGGTCTCATTTGTACACATCGTAGGTATGCGCCCGGGGCACCTTCTTCTCTTTTCCTTCCTTCTTGCTGGGGCTTGTGCCTTCCACCTCGCAGGCCGGAGGAAGCCTTCATGCGGCCTCTTTGCCTTTGTGCATGTTTCTCGTGTAATTCCAGGCTTTCGCAGGCAGACATGCCTAGAGTACAAATTCTGACATTGCACGCTGGCATGCTAGGGCATTCAACTGTGGGTTGAAGTACGGTCGCTTCCAAATGGTGTTGGTACAATTGTAATCAAGAGGTCTGGAGGTTGAACCAGCGTGGTATTCATGTCTTCCTGATGCATTGGGTGACTTGCCACCCATGGCATTCAGCGGTGGACCATTTGGGTCAAGAAACAATTCCCTACGGAAAGAGAGACACCACGACCACCGCCGCCAGCGTCGCTACCGACGCCAACGCTGTCCCACAACGCTACCACCACCCATTGCATCGCCAACAACTTCTGCTGATGCTGGCCAACATGCCATGCAGGCGACAAAAGTTGGGTTGGAAGGGCCAGCACGAGCACAAACTTGCATGGTAGATTGTGCACATAAGCCTGCAAATGGAGATGTAAAATATGGCTTCAGTGCCCCGCCTCCCATAGAAACAATGATTAAAAGTTGAACCGAGTGTTTCTTGTTCAACCTCTCACAGGTCGCCATTGCCAAGTAGCTTTCAAGCCAAGCCTCACTCAATGCATTGCCACTGAAGATGGGATTTGTCAAAGGCCAAATCCTGTCAACAACACGGGGCAGCTGATTGTTTCCTGCCCTCATCTTGAATCTAAATCTAAAACATCACGAGTGCATTGTGTGTTGACTGTATTTCGTCTACAGTAACATGGAGCGCTCTCGCAAAAGAAGAAGAAGGAGAACAAGGAGCAGCATAAGCAAAAGAAAAAGAAGGATGCCGACATATTGACTCCATTTTAATCGGGTTACCCTATATCATATATTCAACCTTGTAGCAAACAAAGGGTTTGAGTCTGAAGGCTTGATGCCAGCCACGATCCATGACCCTGGCCTGCGCATCAGTGAGTGACTCGCCTGGCAAAGTCTCGGGCCGAACGACTAAAAAGAGATTAGTGACGTATCAGTGCACGATACTCAACAAAGCTTTGGCAAACCATGGCCTTTGCTTAACCTGAGAAAGTAGCGCACGAATGCTTCAAATGCAGGAAGCATTAACTCCAAGAACTTCGAACAAAAAGCACTGAACCATCGAGTTGGTGCTGGCTTCGCTTTTTGGGTGCATATGCCTTGCGTGGGCGGGAGTCAAACCCCCAAGGTGCTGTGGGACAGGCCAGGGATCGAGCAAAGTGTGCACACGGACCCTGCAAATGTGAGCAGGTGATTGACGCTTGTGTTTGGAGCAAGCTCATACATTTCACGCGGGTTTTGATGGGTTTGGGCGGCACCTTCACGAACATTTCGAGTTGCATGCCAAAAACTAGAATGGCATACAACCACCAACTGGCTTCCGTGTCAGTTCGTAAGCCCTTGAATCATGGCGTGTCAAAGCTGTAATTGGAATTGCTTCAAACCCAAATAGTGTGCTGAAATTGTGTGAAATTTGCCTCAAGCAGGCAACACAACTTGCGAAGCGCCACCTCACCAGTAAGTCTCAGCAAGAAACCTCTGTCATTCTCTGGCTATCCACTTGTCATGACCGGTTGCAATCTGTGTGACTAATTTGACAAGCCACTGCCATCACAGACAAAGCAGCCAATTCTCGCCTCTTTCCAGGCGGACGTGCGGGGGATCCACACCCGGACGAGCGTACTTCTTCGCCTCGTACTTGGCACCTGGGTAGAGGAGCGTGCGTTTGGGCTTGGGGCGAGAAGTTTGTTCTGTGCTCGGTTTTTCTGTTCGAATTGCCAACAAACATCGGATTATCTGCATTGATTCAGTGTGGAGTAGTTACCATGCAAAACAACGCTACATCAAGCATCGGAAACACTGCCAACAACACATCAAGTGCTTGACGGTTAAGAGGTGAATCTAAATCTGCACAATACATGTGCATGTATATATAATTCGCTTCTGTGTTCATACTTGGAGAAGCTAGTATCAAAGCAACAATGACCTAGGTGTACCCTCCATGCACTGACTTTTTCTGTGCTGGGACGCCTGGAAGGCAAATTATCTGAGTACCCCTTCAACAACCCAAAGCGCCTTGGCATCCTGATGGGTGCAGAAAGGCTTGGGATCACCCGAGTCACCTCGCAACTAGTTCGGTAAAATGAGAGATCCCCTGATCTCTGTTTGTTGTAAGGAAAGTGGACAGTAACTCGGTATGGCGCACACTTGCTCTTCTTCTGTCAAATAACATGCCTCGAAATATCCCAGTGAATACACAGTTACATGTGTATACAACTATAAATATATACATATAAATGCGCATGTTACATATGTAAGCGCGGAACCTTGCCCATGGCGCGCGCACAATCTCAGGCCGGGCAAGTGAGTCCCTACCTCGAACAAGAGTCTGGAATGTCGGCATGCCCGTCCTTTGTCGTATTAATTTGTGTAGATGCGCATCCTGCATGAATGCAGGTGTCCAGCGTGTGGATTCTTTTTCTTGCAACTGTGTCGCTTCATGATGTGCAGGCCAACACATGCCTTGCCCTGCAATAGGTCAAAAGGGCCAAGGCAGACAATGCCTCGGAAACTGCAGATTTCAGCAGACTTTCCAGCAACCCTATTTAAGCGTGATCAACTAACACATCGAAAGAGGGCTTGGTATTCTTTGATGTTGCTTCTCACAAACTGGATTGTAAACTTGAAGATGTCGAATTTGTGGATTGTTGGTGTTTTCCCTTCCTGCCCTTGAAGTGATTGATCAATCCAAAAAGAAGCGGACTCGAATCATGATGCAAGAGCCGCTACCAGTATCCGACAAAAGTTACAGCAGCCCGTCCAAAAAGCCTGTGGGCTGTAGCTTTGCCGACATCAACTGCAAGAAGGCCGGCGCCGGTGACAACGTGCACAAGTGCCTGCATCCCTGATTCCACAACCCTGCGATCAATACGCTACCGTATCGCCAACATGTGTTGCATTTTTGTTTTTCCGCCTCAAGCCTCAACACTGGCTGAGGCTGCCCCCAAACATCAGACTCACCAAGGCGCGGATCCAGCGCTCCAGCTTTCGGGCCTCCGTAGGATCAATCTTGTCGCCTAGCAGAATGCAGCTCCAAATTTTGCTGTGGATAGGACGGACACACCAACCTCTGAGAATAGGCACATCAAGACTTCCCAGCCATCTTTGTCCAGCATATTGAATGTTGAATCTCATCCACTTGTAGCAAGCGATTGGCAGCTCCAGCTCGCAAAGCAACTTTTCAGTACAAGGATAGTGCGCAGAGTGCACTTTGGCAGCTTCCTGTAACAGCTCTGTTGCAATATGTTTACTCTTGACATTTAACACTTGGAAAGCAGTTCCCATCGAACTGCTGTGTTGCTTGCGGTTTGATGTAAAAGAAATGGTCAATAACCTTTGTTGAACATCCAAGTATGAGAAGAAGACCCAAGCTAGAGTGATGTTTCAAGTTCAATCCGAATTCAGCATTAAGCGATTCCGTCTGCTTCTACATTCCCAATAGCAAAACAAATTAATGGAGAAAACAACTATTGAAAATGCAAGTTGAAAAAGAAATCAAGATCAATTTCAAAAGGGTAGTTGTCCTTATCTATGTCCACGTAAATTTCAGCTAAGCACCAACCCAGCCCAGCCAATCACTGGAAAGCGTTTCACTCAACATAGATCTGCTCCTTGGCCACAAAACATCGGTAGAACTATGTATTGTTCAGCATTTGGCAGATCATCGTCTCCCCACTCAAAAAAAAAGATAAGGCTGGGCACCTCGTAGATAGAACAAGAAAGGCTTCTATGTGAAAAAACACCTGGAAAACGTAAAGGTTGTTTCGCGCTGGACACAAGACCCAAGATTTCACAGAAAAGTTTCTTGGGATCCTTGACTTCAGGCTACCGCTTCCACTGAAAAAATCTAACACACACTTAAACTCCAGATGGAGGGTGCTAATCTTTCGAGTACAACTGATGAGTCTCGAGTACAACTGATGAGTCTCGACTGGGTTCTGCTCGCGATGCACTCGGCTTCCCTCTAGCAGCGAACACGTTACCCGAAAGAACAAGAAGCACAAACAGCGCCGCAACCAAGGGGCCAAAGGGACATTCAGAATCACGGAAAGCAGGTACGCCGGATTGATCAGATCCGGTATCCCATGACTGAGGTAGCTTCGTTGAGTGCGGTCCCTCAGTCATGCCGCACTCCCCTGCTACTAATAGTGGTGACAGGGTATTCTGTCACTCCGCACACACACGCCCCTCAGTGAGGGGCGAGAAGTCTCTTTTTCAGCAGGAAGATCACATGCTCAACTTTGTGTCCCTATCGTTTGCCAAAATATCCACCGCGGCGAGGGGAACGCGAAACTGCCCTAAGCCGCTCAGAAGACGGGAACGAAAGATCACCACGATGAGCATTACGGGTGTCGCCATAGAAGACTGGAGGGAATTGCAAAGCAGTCGAGCGATCACCGTCAGAAATAGGGGGAGCATAGGTGAACATTTCCTCGACTCGGATTGCGTCCGAATTCTGCACGTCAACAAGTGATTGATCACGGGCATGATGTGTGGAGAAGGACTCCCTGCGAGAAAGAATGCGTTGGTATCCTTGATGCTGCCAGTCGCGAATGGTCCACGCCTGACTGTGTTCACCAGTCCCACCAATGGGATCAGTTACCCGCTTCCACTCCCGAAACGAGTTGTCTGGTAGGTCAGGTACGGTTTCTCCTGGTTGCCACAGCTGAGGTTGTCCCGGAGTATAGATCCGCACCCACTCCTGATCCTGCCAGACCGAATATTCGAGCCATGGGTACTGCTTTGCATCCTCGATGTCCATGCCGAAGTGAGAGACAGGGCGTACCGCGGGTTCAGATCCAGCTAGTAAAGAAACAGTCACCATGTACAACCATGCACAATCAGCAACCAAGCAAGGAAGCACAAGCATGAAAATCACCCTTTTGTGCCATGCCCAACACGCATCAGTCTAGTCATCATTTAGCTCGAAGATAGGCTTCACCTTGGCGGTGGAGCTGCATGATTGGGTCGTAGGCAGGTATGGATCAGAGACCCCAATAGACTCTGGTGGTGCAACTCCACGAGATGCACGTACTGGTTGGTGTTGTTGGGATGCATCACGCGCGCGATCCGACAGTTGTTGAGAGATCCCATCTTGAAGACGAGTGAGATCCTCAGTGGAGAAAGCCGCCGCATCCGATGATCTAAGAATCGCATCCAACATTTGCGGTGACATACACAATGCCGAGGATTGCGTGGCCACGCTATGTTGATCAGGAAAAGACATCGAATCGAAGTCGTGACCAGCTTGAGGGGCAGCGACTCGCCGATATCCCTCTGTGGCCCAGTCCCTTTTGTACCAAATGCTGTTGTTGGGCTGCGCACCGTCTTGATCAGGATTTGGGACATAGAACTCCTTCCACTCTCTGTATGTATGAGGCGGAGGCGGAGCATCATGTTCGTCCTGTGGAGTCCATGATCCGGATGAAAGATCTTGACCCGCTGGGCATCTGGCTGTTGAGGATCCGGACACCACTCCAGCCACGGCATGACAACACAAACCCTTGATGACAAATTGAGAGGTGTACGGCTGCAGACAGCTATTACTACATGTGACACAACAGCAAACATGCAAGCAAACACTTTTGTAGCAAGGCGCGGCTCAGGTGTCGAAGTCACTCGCCCCAATCAAATTGAATTGAATATCCAGGAAAGACGAGGACGAGCATCAGCCACCATCTGAGTTCGAGGATGCCGACGAAGAGGACAGTCCAGCGTACATGAGGTCTGGTGATCCCGAACCGAAAACTGGACGTGCAATGTTGGGGTGGATGACCGAGCCGTTGATATCCTCTGGTGACCCAGTCACGATACTGCCATGTATAGAAGGACGCATATGAGACCGGCTGGGAAACAGAGCCCATATTGGTGCTGTCACGAGGCCAACACACGTCGAAGTGGAAGAATTTGCGCCATTCCCGATAGGTGGTTGTGTCCTCCGGGGCAGGTCCCAAGGTGTTTTCGGCAACTGGTTGCCACGGACCAGGTACATAGACCCGAATCCATTCAACGCTTGTGCTCGCAGGGCCATTGACGATGTCGTACTCAAAGTAGCGTGGCAGGGTCCATCTTGCAGTGCCATATATTGTAGAATTGAACATATCAACCAGGGAAGCCGCTTTGAGGCAAAAGGGAAGCAGCGAAAACATGGAGACGGAAAGCACAACACAAGCCAAGACAACCCAAGATGATGCCGCAATCAAATCAGGCACAATCGCATCATTTTAACCGACATGTTACTCAAGTAGCAAACCGATTCGTTCCAAGGATCATAGAATGGTGGTGGAGAAGGTTCCCGCCACGCCCCATCCGGAACTGAAGACTCCAACGAGGAAGTAGCTTCTTCATTCACGAGCGCCGCCGATCCAATGGCTGGTAGTGGAACGCCAAGGCGTTGATAACCTCGTGTTTCCCAGTCTCGGTACTCCCACACGTGGTATGACACATACGAACTGGGCATGACATTGGGGTCCGCAGCTGTTCCTCCGGTGCTGTCTTCGGGCAAGTACACGTCAAAGTGATATGACTTGCGCCACTCCCGATACGTGGAGGCGTAGTCTGGGGCACGAACCAGAGTATCTGTGGCTACGGGTTGCCACGGGCCCGGTGTGTAAATTCGAATCCATTCCACTCCTCTCTCGATGTGGTACTCAAAATAGTGCGGGTTCATAACAGCAAAACGGGTCGTCACAGGGCCGCTGAAAGAAATCGCAAAGCCACTGAATTTGCGGCGAAAACACTCATGCCATGACAATCTGACGCAATGAGAATGTGTTGAACAACGCGATGCAAGGCAACTTTTCAAACTGAAGGCGGGACGAATCCACAAGGTCTATAGTATACGACACCTATGCTTCACCGCCGCTGATGCCGCACACACCTGCAATGGTAATGTCCTGGTCGGCGACGAGCACAGGGAGAAAGACACTTCCGTCCATGATGTAGAAAGGCATGACAGTAATGCTTGCAACTTGTCAATGGGGACAGCGATGGACGGGTGGCTTGTTTTGAAGGGAATACGGTGAAGGGTCGCCGAGATCTCCGCAGGGCAGAAGCGGATGCTGATCGAGAGCGTTTCTGAGAACGCGTGAGACTGCGTAGATCATCATCACGGAACTTGTCAGCGCTGCATACCGAGCGGTGTGTGCGCTGCGATTTCACTGTGGCAGGGCAGGACTGTCCTCGAGGAGAAGGGCTCGAGGAGGCACGCAATGAGGGCATGAACTGTGGGTGTAGAATCACCGGTGGTGGTGGCGGTGGAGGAGGTGGAGGTGGAAGAAGTATTGGAAACCTTGGCGGGGTTGGAGGTGAAGCAGTCCATCGAACTGGTCTGTCAAGCAATGTACCAGGCCCGTGAAACTGTAACCACAAGTGATGTAAGTCTGCACATCTTGCTCCAACATGATTTGAGCAGCTCAGCCATGCATGAAACCCAAGTCATCAACAACTTCCATGACAGCCAACAATGCCCTCACTGGCAGAAATGTCATGTAGGTCCGTCAAGTCATTACTGCAAAGTATGCCAGCCATGTCATGCAAACAAGCGAGAAAAGAATCATGCGATCTGCCATGACTGCAATCCAAACCATCTCGACGCTCACAGAACGCACTGCCACGTCCTACGGACTAGTCCTCCGGTAGTCGCGATGCACGGTGCCCTAAGCGCGAGCCTCAAGTTGCTGGTAGACCTTCCAGGCCTGCTTGACTTCCTCTATGGGCTTCTGAAGGAAACGGGCAATGGTTTTGTAGGTGGGCCTGGAATCCTTGTCCTTTTTCCGTCTGACCATCTCATCCAGCTCACCTTGTGTCCACGCCGTAAAAGGTTCACGATGTGCATTGCGAAGGGCAATAGTGAATTCTTGTAGAAGTTCCCGAGGTCCATGAACCACCGTGGGAGATGGACGGAACGATGAAGAATGTGGGTGTGGACGAACTGAACCATCCGAATCCGAATCAGGTGTGGTAGGCGATGTCTGTCCTGGTTCGCGTCCACTGTGAGGGGGTAGGGGAGCAAGAG